ATTAGGCAAGGCAGAGTTAAGGTTCTTGTTCACTGCACACCTACTCAATGAGATCTATCTACCTACAAAGTTTCATGTTGATACCTCTTATACTTTTAGAGTTATGTCCCGGACAAATTTCAAAGTGTAAAAATAAACAAAGGGGAATAATTCAAAAATTAGGCAAGGCAGAGTAACGGTTCTTGTGCACTGCACACCTACTCAATGAGATCTATCTACCTACAAAGTTTCATGTTGATACCTCTTACACTTTTAGAGTTATGTCCCGGACAAGAAAAGGGGACGGACGGACGGAAAGACGGACGGACAAGGCGGCGACAATATGCTCCCCCGAAATTTTTCGTGGAGCATAAAAATCTATTAAATTATCCAAAACATCCCGTAAGGTGCCACAGAATAAAAATAGCCTTCTATACGGGAAACAACATACCGTTAAAATATAGACTATAATCTACAGTGTTGCCTCCATTGGTTAGAAAACAAGAGCTGTAGGTAGGACAGCAATGCTCGACTATTCTTAGTGCTTGATTATGAGTAAAAAAAGCCTTGATTAAAAGGTAAAATTTTCTCAGTAAAGAAAAAGGCAAAATTTTTCTTTAAATCCATATTACAGTTATAGGCATTGGAGAGAGTCCTATTATGCTCTCAAAGAAGAGTATAAAATTTCAACATGTTTCAAAGCCTTATGTCAATGAACTTTGAAAATATTTGAGCTATTACAAAAACTTTAACTAAATTCTAAGTCGAAAAAAGGGCATAATTCCGTCAAAATGCTTGATAGAGTTACCTCCTCCTGTCTACAGGTTGGGGTCATGATGGTGAACAAGTGTGCAAAGTTTCAAAGCCAATGTCAATGGACTTTGAAAATATTTGAGGTATTACAAAAACTTTAACATAAGTGGTTACGTCGACGCCGACGCTTGGGTGACTACAATAGCTCTACTTATTCTTATCGAATAGTCGAGCTAAAAGGAAAGATAATGTACTATTGTACTAAAAAACAACAAGCAATTATCATAGTATTGCAAGCAATCCATAAGTCCCCTACCAGTTAGAACCCCAGCCCCATTGGCCATTCAATTATACCACTAGATTGATAAACCTTGTCATATTATTATGATGTTGGAGTTTGAAGTAATGAAGAGGTTGGAGTAAAAGATATAAATTTCTCGAAAAAAATCAAAGGGGGACATAATTCTGGAAATAGTCTTGCTAGAGTATTGAACCTTCTTACAAATGTTGAGTGATAATAACAAACATATATATATGAAGTTTGAAGTAGATACATTAAGAAACAAGAGCTGTCTGTAGGACAGCAACGTTAGACTATTCTTAGTGCTTGATAGTAAAAAAAATGCTTGATACAGTTACCTCCTCCTGTCTACAACTTGGGGTCATGATGGTGAACAAGTGTGCAAAGTTTCAAAGCCATATGTCAATGAACTTTGAAAATATTTGAGGTATTACAAAAACTTTAACATAAATTCTAAGTCGAAAAAGGGGCATAATTCTGTCAAAATGCTTGATAGAGTTACCTCCTCCTGTCTACAACTTTGGGTCATGATGGTGAACAAGTGTGCAAAGTTTCAAAGCCATATGTGAATGGACTTGGAAAATATTTAAGGTATTACAAAAACTTTAACATAAATTCTAAGTCAAACAAGAGCGATCAGTAATCACATGTGTCGCCTCATGATGGCCAATTTCATGTTGGGACAAATTTTGTGACAGACAGACGGACAGTGCACAACTAGACTTGGTACTGATCATTCCTGTAAAGTTTGAATAAAATTGCACCAGTAGTTTATGAGGAGTAGTCCGGACAAGCTTTTGCGTATCTGGCAACACACAGCAACAAACACCTTTTTATCAAGGGGCCATAACTCAGCCAAAAATCATTCAACCGGAAAACCCGTGCAATACGCGCAAGGACTTGAGCTACAGATCAATCCTGTAAAGTTTCATTGAAATTGCATAAGTGGTATAAGAGAAGTAGTCCGGACAAACTTTAAAAATAAAAATTATTAAAGGGCCATAACTCTGACAAAAATCACTGAACTGGAAAATGCTGACAATATGCACAACTAGACTTGGTACTGATCATTCCTGTAAAGTTTGGATGAAATTGCACCAGTAGTTTATGAGGAGTAGTCCGGACAAGCTTTTGTGTATCTGGCAACGACAGAAAAAAACACCTTTTTGTCAAAGGGCCATAACTCTGCCAAAAATCATTCAACCGGAAAACCCGTGCAATATGCGCAAGGACTTTAGCTACAGATCAATCCTGTAAAGTTTCATTGAAATTGCATTAGTGGTATAAGAGAGGTAGTCCGGACAAACTTTAAAATTAAAAATTATTAAAGGGCCATAACTCTGACAAAAATCACTGAACTGGAAAATGCTGACAATATGCACAACTAGACTTGGTACTGATCATTCCTGTAAAGTTTGGATGAAATTGCACCAGTAGTTTATGAGCAGTAGTCCGGACAAGTTTTGTGACGGACGGACAGACGGACAGACAGACAGACAGACAGACGACGGAGAAGTGATCCCTATATGTCGCCACTACTCCGTAGAGGCGACACAAAAAGGGGCATAATTCTGTCAAAATGCTTGATAGAGTTACCTCCTCCTGTCTACAGGTTGGGGTCATGATGGTGAACAAGTGTGCAAAGTTTCAAAGCCATATGTCAATGGACTTTGAAAATATTTGAACTATTACAAAAACTTTAACATAAATTCTAAGTCAAAAAAGGGGCATAATTCTGTCAAAATGCTTGATAGTTACCTCCTCCTGTCTACAGGTTGGGGTCATGATGGTGAACAAGTGTGCAAAGTTTCAAAGCCATATGTCAATGGACTTTGAAAATATTTGAACTATTACAAAAACTTTAACATAAGTGGTTACGCCGACGCCGATGCTCGGGTGACTGCAATAGCTCTACTTATTGTTATCGAATAGTCGAGCTAAAAATGTGCCGCAGGTTTCCTATTTTCTGTCACTTTCGCTTTTATTTAAAGATGCTGATAAAAAAAAGGCAACAACCAAGGTTCCAGCTATATTTATTGACTATTATGAATGATTATTGGCGACTTTTGAAGTCGTCAAGGTGGGAAACTTGTCTTAATTTGTCTTAATGGAGCTATCCTTTGCACATGTGCAACAGTATCATGTGAAATCCCCAATGCGAAAAACACCCCTGCTTGTAAAAGGTGATAATAAGAATGATTATATCTAATGTTTACTTTAGACTGAAGAAATTCTGTGGAACGTTTCCTTCAATTATAGTGTTCTGGAAAAAAACTCACCTTCAATTTTTAAGAGCTGCAGTAAACGAAAATAACTGCAATATTGGATACTACTAGCAGTAGCCAACAGGTACTGCTTTGATACCAGTACTTCTTCACTTTTATAAAAAGGATTAACTTCAGACTTTACATTTTGGTTTCTATTCTAAATACTTTGTATGTGCCAACGTATCGACAGCTTGGTGCGAAAGGGTTGTAACTCCTTTATTTAATAGGAGTTACTGCGAATTCACTTATATTCGTGGGCATGAAATTTCGTGGTTTTATCAAAACGGGCATTTTCGTGGGTTCTTAAATTCGTGGATTTTCAATTTCTTGTAAAAAAATAAAATAAATAACCTAATGCAAAGTAATCTTACACTTAATCGCCGCGCATTTTACTTACCGCATGTACATATCTTTACGTATCACACAGCGCTTGTCAATAAATTTAATCCTTGCCTCTGGGCATTCATTACACAAAAATCGGCGGAAAAGCGCCGATGCATGTTTGTAATATATAGAATAGAGACATGGCAAGAAGTATTTGTTGGGATAAAATTTCGTCGGATCTTAAATTCGTGGATTGACCTACCCACGAAAACCACGAAAATTCGTGCCCCACGAATAATAATGATTTTACAGTATAATCCTTTCACACCAAGCCCTCCACTAACAAAGTTTCGCTATATGTATATGCAGTACTTCGATACAGCTGAAGTCAGTGCGTGAGCATGCACTTTGCCATGTCTTGTTCAGTTACCGTTCACGTTTTCTACGTGGTTTCTACAAAGGGCCATGTGTCCGACTGCTGCTACACTTAGTGTACATGGCTTTCACAACTAATATATCAGTCAAACAAATTAAACAACACCTATAAACTACATGAAGTTGTTTTCCATATTAATATTTTGCATTTTCAACTGATAGTCAAACAAATATCTCAATATTCTTTCCCATTTAATATATTGTTTACATGTGATGACAGCTAGTTAGCAGGCGAATGCTGTGTTAGATTGCTTCCGCTCCAGTCCTTTAATTATTTACCATCAAAACTCATAATATGTTTACCATAGATAGAAAATAAATTGTATAAGGTTATTGAAAAAAATGTCACTTTATCGAAAATCAAATTAATAAATACAAAGTCTTTAGAAAAAGTCCCTTCTTTGAGTTCGTTTAAAAGGGGAACAATTTGGCGGAATTTTAGACAGGGGAAACATGAGTTATCATTCGTGGCTAGGGAATATGGCCAACTGAAATCATGCAAGCAAGTTTGTAAGTGCCCTCGGTATATAATAATATGAATTTAATATTCCAAAATTTCAACGTAAAATCAATTATAGCCTCAATATCATAATCCATATGATTCTTTTTCCATATTCACTAGGATACCATACTGCAAGTAAACCAGTTTTATTCGGTCATTTTTTTTATTTTTCGTAACGTATATCGTGAAGCATCCCCCACGCTCTTAACCAGAATATATATAAAGTTCAATTCGTTTTTTTTCTAATTTATTATATACAAATGAACCCCTGAAATACACAGAAGGGATCGCCTTATTTTTGATCGCGGAATCGGGTGACAATCTGAATATTCGATTTTGTTAATTCTAAGAAATTCATAAAATCAGCACAAAATATATTCTTCTGCATGTTGCCATAGTTTTACCTACAAAATGTCCGTGTAATTGAAGAACATCTTACCGTAAAAGCGGTTTTTCCAAAATACAATCCCATCGCTAGTTTTTGGCGCGCACGTGCTGCTACGTTTCTTGCGTTCTGCAAATAAAGGGAAATAACTGTACTGTACTAGGGTACATAAAATACGAAACTGCCCAGTTCCCTGATTTTTTTCTGATGATAAATTCTTTTCAAATACTATGTCATGAAATACTGTTCTTGTCTGGAACTAAAAGTGTATCTTTCTGTCCAGTAGATCTACAGTATGCATTCATTACAATAAATAGCCAATTAACACAGACGATTTTAGTGACGTCATATCTATAGATGTACTGTCAAATTCAAGAATTACGTTTGTGTGCACTATATGCACTTTTAGTAAAAAAATAGAGTTAAGAATCATATGCTTACATGTACTTATGAATTGTCAACAAGCGTGATGAAAGTGCAAGCAGGCATTGTGTATTTTTTTACCTCAATATCATTCCATGTGTTCTGCATTATCAGTGATTGATGTATACTTGTTGTTTATCATTTGATATTGTAACAGGGTAATAATAATAATAATAATAATTCTATTTGAAACACACATGTGAAAGACCCTGATTAAATTTATACAAACTTAAATTTTTTGATAAATGTTAATCTGTAAACTGGTTTCTTTATTCTGTATAATTTTGCATAAAATGATTAACGTAATTCCTGCATCAATTTCCCAGCAAATGCAAAAGTTTAGGACTTTTTCTATAAACATACAAATTAAAAATAAAAACCTCACACACAGAGAGCTTTAAAACTTTTGCATTTAGTTCTAGTTCTGGGTTGTCGACCATATTTTTTTTTTCATTGGGGCACTTCCAAAGTACTTTAAGCGTAAAGCGCAGCCGCTAAAGCATATGACGTCACATCAAAATATATGCATCTCTTCCACCAGTGCTTTAATTGTGCCGTGCTTCTACAAAGTCGGAAGTTGAAACCCCTGTCGTGACAGAAGTTTAATATTAAAAATAAGTAATGAAACTTTACGAAATCTAGCCGTAGTCCTACTTAATAATTTATCCCATCTGTTTCATTAATGCGCTTACTTGAAGCGTATGATAAATGCAGCGTTAACGTATATATGACGTCACTTACGCATCGCTTAAGCGGCGCGTGTTTCAAAGGTGTTGTAAACACTGCCATGACACATGTATACAGATGAATTTATATTATATATTTATATTGCTCCAGACAATGATTTTTTTCTCACAATAATTCTACGCATACTATGATCAAATATATGAAAAAAAACAGCTTCAATACTAAATCTACATTGCTATGATCAAATGTATGGAAAAAAAACAGCTTCAATACTAAATCTACATTGCAAGCCTATGAGTGACATGCATATTATGTAGGCTATATAGGCACAGTACATCTTGAACACAATGGATTCAGTCCAGCATTGCCATTTTTCAAACAAATCCGTTTTTCAAACATTATTCTGACGGCAAAAATTTTACTTGGAGGGAGTGGAAGTGAGTCAAGAATTGCCTGTCCATCTAGACAGAGATTTATCTTTCATATTTCCCCATGCTTTAATAGATAGGACAGCATACGCAGTTGCAGATAAAAAAATGTAAGGCTTTCTGCTATAGTTTTCATATAGACTTACATGGCTACAGGCAAAATGAACTTATTCAAACTTTAATAGATCTTACAAGATCTTCGACCCTCAATTCATTTTGAAGTTTAAATAAATTCTACGAAATAGTTTTCATTCTGCCTGTATGAAACTGTATGTATGTAGTCTATGCTTAATGAGGGTCCATCCGCCCGTAAGGGCACAGAATGCAGCTTACACTGTCGTGTACGGACCCCAGACGTCTCACCAGTCATGCCCTTTTTAAAGTTAATTTCAAAGCACAAAGTGGTAATAAATTTACCTCCTTGCAATTTTCACGGAGTATTAGCTTAAGATATGAATTTTGAGCCAAAAGTAAGTCACTATACGGCGGTCAATGAGAACCTAAATGTACAGTAACCTGAGAGAATATGAAAGTGTAGCCCTTACAAGGACTGTTGGTGCCAGCAAAAGGAGTGCCGTTCAAGCCGTCTAACCGTGCTAGGGGCTTACGCACCCTAGCACACCATCCTCGTCGACCCGAAGCCTACTTTGTAGGTCCACTCCCCTCGGCTTTAGTCAGGACATCGGCAGCTGGTCCGCAGCACAAGTTCCGATCTTTTTCCGATGTCATGTGTCTTCTCAACGTCGTACACGTTCCAAGGGGAAGAGAGAAGAAAACCAGTAGGAAAATATGTAGCGAACGCCTATATATGACTGACTGCAAAAAAAATCAAAATAAACAAACAAAAACTTCATGCCGTCTATTACAATGTACTTTTTTAAGTCTATAGACATAATAGAGGATATCGTTCAAAAATTGAAAGATCCAAAGAGGACAAGTTCTGTCCATTTTTTTTTAAATTCTGATCGAAACCAAAGAGGACAAGTTCTGTCCATTTTTTTTTAAATTCTGATCGAAACCATGGAGTTGAATAGACGTGTATATCTGTGTCGAAACACACAAAAAAACTTAATAATAAAATATAGGTAATCTTAAATTATTGTTTTACAGTAATTAACATGACTTAACATAACAGTAAAAGTTTCTGCTTTGTTTATACAAGGACTTCTATTTGAAAACCGATCATTTTATTTTGAATAACAAATTATCCATCTTTTTTATGCTATCCAGTAAGACAATTCCAATCTGTATTCCGATCTGCTTCAAATTAAAATCCAGTTTTCAAATAAATATTGTTCTATTCACGGCCCCATCAACCAATAAGCTCCAAAAGCGAGGGCTGTACGTATTCTACCCCCTGTGTCCCCTTTTCAGGTAATCGATCGATTGCTTTTGTTTGTTGAAGTAGAGAGAATTACTTTGTTTTGTGCTAAAGAAATCTGTCAGCGGACGATTTTCAAGACTGAAATATAATAAAATATGCGGCATAGTTGTCCACATGTTGAAATTAGTACAAACTCTGTAAAGAGTACAAATAAAACGAAGCCTTTAATGTGTGTCATAAATTCAGAAAAGGGAACAAAATAAGATTAAAAAATAAAATAAATAAATAAGATAAAAAAAAACTAACAAAAACCCATTAACTCTGTTAGCAGTCGGGCACCTGTTCGGGAAGGGAGGCAATGGGATTCGTGTCAGTTTTTTTTCTGGATAAGGCAGTTATAGTCAAAACCTTTTAAGATCGGGATTTTTTTTTTATTTAATTTTCTTTTTTCATCTCAAAATTTCAAATGGTCTTAATTGTAAGTAAGTGTTTGAAAAAAACCGACTCGGTTGGATTTTTTGTAACTTTTTGTTTTCTGCATCAGAGAGTGATTTTCTTTCTTTTTTTTAAATGCACATAAACATGGGCCAAAAACTTCCTGATGACGTGTCTAATCGGAAAACATTGAATGGGGATACCCTTGCTTCCCCAACAGGAAGTGAGCACGACCGATTAAGAACGCAATAAAAATATGGTAAAACTTAAGTCACATTTCGTACAAAAAAACATAATTGAGCCGCGTCATGACAAAACCAACATAATGGGTTTGCGACCAGCATGGATCCAGACCAGCCTGCGCATCCGCGCAGTCTGATCAGGATCCATGCTGTTCGCTTACCAACTCTATTACAAGTAGAGAAATTGATAGCGAACAGCATGGATCCTGATCAGACTGCGCGGATGCGCAGGCTGGTCTTGATCCATGCTGGTCGCAAACCCATTATGTTGGTTTTGTCGTGACGCGGCTCATATTTTCTTTTTCTAATACCATATTTCAATGTTGTTGAACTTGTCAAATGTATGGAATTTAGACATGGAAATATCTTGTATGAGTTTGATGATGGTGACCATTCAGTATCGAGTATGGGCATTCACATCATTTTAAATAGTTTAAGTCTATACAATAATGTCGATCATATGTATACATATTAATTGAAGCTAGAAAAACGACTCGTGTGATTGCCAATTATAGCTACATGTATTCAGCTAGCTTGCGGGAGGCCCGTGGTTCTACTTAGGTGCCCGCTCGTGCACAAAGTGTCAACTGAGTGCTTCCTTCGTAGTAACTGAATGACCATTATCAGTCTCGGAGTGACATAAATTCCAACAACAAAACAAACTGCCATATTTATTTGTCAAAGTTACAGATTATGAAGTTTTTTGTTCTATTTCAGCATCCCGTTTATAAATGCATTCATAAAATAGCACAATATCCCAACTTAAGGTACGATTACTTACACTATCGTATATTTATATGATCTGGATCGTTTCAAATTATCCACGAATGTACAAAGTTTTCATAAAGACAAGTCAACCCGCTATCAGGAACTAGATTGAAAGGATCCTGATCAGATCGAAAGACAACTATATGTAGGCCTATATATGTGTGTTATAGGCATATCTATACAAGACTATCAAAGTCGATTTTATATGAATAAAGCACTTCATTGTCTCGACAATATAAAGGTCCGGTATTATTCTGCTTTACTTCTGTAAGTAATTTTGTATTTTTTAAAAATAATAATTTAAAGAGTCAAAATATTGCTTTAATTCATTCCACTATCAGGCATAGACCCTTATATAATCATCGCCTGATTAATTAGGCATGAAGGTTTTTGCCTATTTCTACATTGTTGTTTGAACTGTTTTAAAAGACGCAGCCTGTCAAAAAAATCGCCCTCTCTCAGAATACCTAAGTACTACTATACTGTATGGACATTAATTTAGTTAAAGTTCTGGTAACTACAATTATTTATTATAAAGTTCTGAAGCCTACGTACTGTATTATTTAGTTAACTTATACAAAATTAAAATAATTCTTCTCGCATTCAATCTCAAATATAGATCTATGTCGAATTTTAAACCAAAGCAACGCCATTAATGAACAGATGAGAGGAAGAAAAACGAACGAGTAAATTGGTAAACACGAGTTCTCTGTCTTGATGTACACCGCCGTTTACAGAGGGCGCTGCGTGTTATTTTGTTATGCATTCGCATGTAGTCGTACAAAATAATGGATTTTTCGGTTTTACTGAAAGATTTGAGAGATGTGGCCGAAAAATACAAAGGAAAAAGCACCGAACCACAAGTATCAACGCATGCTTACGTTGATATGTTCACGAAGGTAAGGAAATTTGATGTGAAATCGACCGACCCCCTCCACACTTGAAGATCCATGGCTAACTTGCGTTTCGTCACGCACGCAAATTCAGATTCATTTTGTAAGAAAGCAGCTGCTTGATGTTAAAATATCAAGTTTGCAAACTGTTCAAATGACTTGATCATTTGTGATTTTTATAAGTTTTTGATCAGATTTCCTTCAACATATGTAAACAGGCCTTGAATTCAGTGTAAGCAAAATTATGCAGAACAACTGTCATGGCTTCCGTATTCAATAATCATTGGAGAGAGCAATAAAAAAATGGCAGAATGCGAATTTTCTTTTCAAAAATAACATATTCTGATTGCTTTTCACTAATAATTAAACAGAGAGAATATAATTAATTGTGCATCTTAATGCAATAATGGCAATAAATTTGATTATAAAGAGTTTATAAAGATGTGATTATGTGAGATCTGTGTATTTCATGACAAGGCGTTTAAATGGGAACAAGACACTTAACCCCTTTCATTTTAAAAACACTTCACCCTTAAGACACTTCACCCCCCAAAATTAGTTTAAACCGGTAGATTTGGGAAAAAAGTATTTTTTCAAAAAGGGGGAATCGGAAGAGAAAAAATGATGTCAGTTGATTATTTAGTGGAAAACTATGACAATAAACTTGAAACACATGTACAATGTATATAAAATAATGAAAAGTGCAAATCAACTATAAACAAAAAAGGGTAGTAAAACCCTCTGAAGAAGTATGGAAGAGAAATACCAGAAAAGGAAAGCAATCTCCAGAAGGGCAAAGAAAGCTGCTAAGCATCAATGAATGATGTTCTGGCCTGAAATACTACATGAACTATATCGTCTATATGAACTTACAGACTGAGACAGTTTAACCATCAGACACTTCGCCCCAAACCATTTTTTGATGACACTAAATTCATTCCTCAGACACTTCACTCCTTTTCTATACTTAAAAAAACCCAACCAAAATTGTATTTTAATCAAAATGAGCACCTGAAAAATTAATATATCAGAACTATTTAACATACACTTTTTTTCCAAAGAAACATGAGCATTTAATGCCCTTGCTTGTGTAATGTCTGAAAATTTCAATGAAAATGTAAAAATCTATATTTCAAATTGTGTACAGGAAAAAGCATCTGAAATCTCCAGTTCATTTGATTTTTTTTCCACTGACAGAGAAGGGGGGGGGGGGGAAAGATTCTCAGACCTATAACATGCAGATTTAATTTCCAAGTCTCCTTTGAGGTAGTGAGGCATGATTTTGTTTTTTCATGGGGAGGATCCCAAGTCCCCTTTAAGGCAGTGACGCATGATTTTGTTTTAATTTCAAACTTAAGCTCCCCAGCTAGCCAGTGACATTTCTTGCAGTGACTTATTTAGCTTTTAGGATTTGGAACAAATAAATGTCATATTATTGATATCATCAGGTATCCCCATTCAGATGAAAATAAGTAATAACAACCAAATTTGGAACTTGTTAAAATAGTACAGATAGTACAAAAGTACTGAAGTTTCAGTTTGATTTCTTGTTTATTTAACTTTTAAATAAAAAATAGGGTTATACTCGTAAAGCTTGCTTTTTGGAGAGGGGAATAGGTCAGTCAATGGAATCAAGGGAAATGGAGCTGAACTTTAGCTCGAAAAAATGTCACAAAAATAGTCAAAACTTATAGAAATTTACCATTGATTTTTTTTGCATAATAAAGGCCTCTATCAAGTTTGCAAAACTTGTCAACTACTTAGGCACACATGAATTTTTGTAAAAAGTGAATGTTTTGAATGGTTTATTTTGTTAAAAATAAAAAAAAAAAAAGCATTGGTGGCCACAGTTCAATTTACAAAGCTCTGTATTTATTTAGTTTGTTCAACCATTTTGATTCGTAAGCATAGTGACCTGATACATCCTTTCACTTTTGCACAGTTTATGACATAATTTACAGGAGTATATATACATGTATGTGGGATAATTATGAAAGAAAATTCTTTAAAAGTTCATTAATAACAAAATTACTGACCAATTCCGGTATTTCCCTGTCGATTCTGGTAATACGACCGATTTCAGTGAGTCAAGTAACTGATTATGAAACCACTATGAAAAAATTGATTTATATGTAAATTGCATTTGAGGGGAGAAAAGATTTCTGAGGGAAAATGGGGGGGTGTGTGTGTGTGGGGGGGGGGGGGGTTAGATCTCCTTAAATTGTGCGCTGCTCATGAATGTTTCTATTTACATTTGATAGTTTTGGGAACTTGATTTAAGTCAATTTGTTGCAACTCTCATAATGCTGAAAACAAAACATAGCTATATGATTAAGTATATTTTAAATTACATAATTTATTATATGTCATGTATGTACATTAAAATGAATAAAAATTAAACAGACTCAAGAAAGTTTTACTTCATAAACACTATTTGGTGTTTTTAATGGAAAATGTTGTTCAAAAGAAAAACGTCATAGCAAGATGTATTGAAGATGAAGCAAATAGATATGTACAGTTGACATCCTCCCCAAAACATTCAATTAAAATATGTAAATTTAAAAAAAAATAGGATGTTTTACTATGAAAAAAGGATATTTTACTAATTGTAATTTAATTATGTAATTTTTGTCGCTTGATTGAGTGGTTTAATCAATTATTATCATTTGAAATAAATGAAAACAACAAACGTTTAACTATATATATGTATATATAGATGTATGCATATCTTGGGTATCCATTTCAGCTATCATTTGATATTAAGATTTATCTTACTCTATTTTGTTGAATGGAGGAACAAAAAGACTCACAGATCTATGTATCTATGTATTTTATCTATCATTTGATTAAAAGATCTTATTCTATTTTGTTAAATTGAAGAACATTCTATGTAACATAATTATAGTCATTGTTTTTTTGTTTAGATATTGAAGAGAGCACAAAGAGTTACAGACCAGTATGATGATCAGATCACAGTGTTGTGGGTGGCGCTTAACCAGCTTGCCTCCATATATGAGAATCTCACAGCTGGTGCAGCCAGGGACCAGCTATGCAAGTTCATCTTTGGGTAAGATTCATCACAAAAATAGATTAATATCTTGCTTATATAAAACCTTCTGGAACTTGACGGGGTTAGTCTTTGCCACCAGTATAGAGCCAGGCCAGATTGAACATTACATTTTCCATGCAGTCTTACCAGGCTCTATAATGTTGTCTGACTAACTTTAATATACCCCTAAATTGATAATGGACATTTCCAGAATTGGAAGCTGGACAAGTCCATTAAAGAAATTTAGCAGGGTGAGGGTTACATTTTCCATGAGGAGCTGTCAGTTGAAGTTACTCACTTCCTGGGGATGTTGCAGCCATGTTAACTTACATGAAAGTTGGGAAAAAAACACAGTCAGAACTTTGTTATGTACATTGTAATAATTTTTGTGGGGTGTCCGTGGCCAAGTGGCTAAGGTCGTTGACTTCAAACCACTTGCCCTGCACCGCTGTGGGTTCGAAATCCGACTGTGACTTTGGCTTCTTTCATGAGAGGAAGCTATCCAGCTTGAATACAGAAGGTTGGTAGTTCTACTCAGGTGCCCGTTCGTGCCTGAAAAAATGCACGGAGGGGCACCTGAGGTCTTCCTCCATCAGTAAAGCTGGAATGTCGCCAAATCACCTATACTGTGTCGGTGTGACGTAAAACCCAAATCAAAAAAAAAAAATGTATTAATTTTTGTATGAAACTGTTACTTCAGATAACAGTTTTGAATTTTATTGTTTTATACCTGATGCATGATATCAGGAAGTTATCACAGATGAAACAGGTTGCTTGTAATTAGAAACTTAACCTTGATCGGATTATTGTTATGTTATTTTGAAGATTAAATTGGAGAATCGTAATTCTTAAAAGTTTGTTTTGCAGTTTTATGTCATACATTTAATAAAAATAAATGATACTATCTTTCTTGTTTAAACAATAATTTCAGAAACAAATGTCTATTTAAGCTTGTCTGTTTCATTAAAAAGTCAAGCTGTTATGATCACAGCAGTGTTGCTATCATTGTGCAAAAACTTTAATGTAGCCCAGTGCTCAAACAGTTTTAAAGATATCAATATTATATGAGATTTGAAAAACTTGCTTATTGTGACAAGAGGCAGTTGTATGACAAGTGACATAATTCTGAAAGCTATAGTTTTGGAGTTATGTCCCTTTTTAGCTTAGAATTTTGGATGTGGTGCTCTTGTTATATGAGTGATGAGTAAATTAACATTCACTTCCAAGTGTTTCTACTCAATTATTGCAGGAAAAAAGTAACAGGTTATCATGAGTAATTAACATTGTTATATTGATAGGAAAAAATAAAAGAATGATATCTTATAGACAATAGAGCATTAATTATAGAATGATTTTGAACTTCAGATTGTGTGCTAAAACTGTACTTAACATCCAGTGGGCTCAACTTGATGAAGACAGTAAGGTTAAGAACAATTTCTCCACCACTGTGGAAAATGTACATAAAATCCTGTCAGAGCTCGGGTTCCTCAAGTTCCAATTGATTCTGGACCTGATGGAGAGTCACTGGACGCATCCTATACTGAGTAAAATAATGTCTGGCGAGGAGGAAGACACAGAAGATTGTAAGTGCAGCTGACCTTTTTTTACTCCTTAATTTAGTTAAATGTGTGCACTGGTCCAGGCCTACATCAGTTTAAATATACTTAATTAAGCTCAGTTTAGATGTCATATTGAATAATTTGAGTTGTTCTCAAGTCTGCTTCCGAGAACATACCAGTACTAACTGACCAGTACTGGTGTCATATTAGGAATCATGATTGCTGACTTTAGTAGGACTGAAAATTACGATCACTGAGTTGAGATGCCTCAGGCAACCATAACCACCTGACTTTAATCTTGAATCTGTACATTGTTAATTTAAGGAATTTCAAGGTAAAAATGCTTAAAAGCAGCAGAGTTTATTGACTTTCAATTAAAGAGCCATACAGCATTTAAGTGTTGACTGCTGTAGTCATTTTAACTAATTGATTTGATTCATACTCCTCCCTGCCCTGACTCCCTTCCCACCGAAAGAATTTTTAGGTAGTTTTCCTTCATGAATAATAATAATAATAGATGAAGCATCTCTTAAAAATTATCATTATTACAATGTCTGAATTTTTTTTTGGAAGGCCTTTCATTGTGTTTATTTTTTTCCTTTCATCAAAATGGCAGTACCTTTTATTTTTACAAATAGAATATTTATCATGCTGCAAGTACATGAACCTATGAAAAATATTGTTGAAAATGGAAACTGCCTACATATTTGTAAAAAAAAAAAAAAAGAAACTATTTAAGCCTATCTTGTGCAATTATTGATTGTCAAACTGGTGTAAATTTAATTACCTGAACATATGTTGCACATTTTAAAATCATTTTTTTTCTTTATTTAAGTACAAAATGTATGACTATGAAGCTGTATTAATCATTTTTATACGCCCGTTTGAAAAACGGGACGTATTATGGGAACGCCCCTGGCGGGCGGGCGGCGTCCAATTTTGTCCGGAGCATATCTCCTACATGTATGGAGGGATTTTAATGAAACTTCATAGAAATGTTCACCACTATGAGGAGCAGTGTCGCGCACATGAACCAGGTCTCTAGGTCAAAGGTCAAGGTCACACTTAGAGCTCATTGAAAAATGCTTGTCCGGAGCAAAATTTCCACATGTATAGAGGGATTTCAATATTACTTGGCACAAATGTTCACCATTGTGAGGCAGAGTGTTGCGCGCAAGATTCAGGTCCTTGTGGCCAAGGTCAAGGTCACACATAGAGGTCAAAGTTCAGATAAAAATATGAAGATGTGTATATGGACGATTTAATCATCATTTATTGAGGGATTGTAACACAAATGGTCATTATCAAGACTATGGCTGTGATACATATAATTTAGGTCAATATATACAAGGTCAAGGTCACTAAAGATGATGAAATATCCAGATTTTGTCCCGAGCATATCTCCTACACGCATGGAGGGATTTTAATGAAATTTCATAGAAATGTTCACCATTATGAGAAGCCATGTCATGCACATGAACTAGGTCTCTAGGTCAAAGGTCAAGGTCACACTTAGAGCTCATTGAAAAACGCTTGTCCGGAGCAAAACTTCCACATGCATAGAGGGATTTCAATATAACTTGGCACAAATGTTCACCATTGTGAGGCGGAGTGTCGCGCACAAAATTCAGGTCCCTGCAGCCAAGGTCAAGGTCACACATAGAGGTCAAAGTTTAGATAAAAATATGAAGATGTGTATAGGGACGATTTAATCATCATTTATTGAGGGATTGTAACACAAATGGTCATTATCATGACTACGGCTGTGACACAAGTACTTTAGGTCAATATATGCAAGTCAAGGTCACTAAAGATGGTGAAATATCCAGATTTTGTCTGGAGCATATCTCCTACATGTATGGAAGAATTTTTATAATACTTTATGGAAATGTTCACCACCATGATATGTATTGCTCCATGCATGATCCAGGTCTCCAGGTCAAAGGTCAAGGTCACACTTAGAGCTCATTGAAAAACGCTTGTCCGGAGCAAAACTTCTACATTCATAGGGGGATTTCAATATAACTTGGCACAAATGTTCACCATTGTGAGGCTGAGTGTCGCACGCAAAATTCAGATCCCTGCGACCAAAGTCAAGGTTACACATAGAGGTCAAAGTTCAGATAAAAATTTGAAGATGTGTATAGGGACCATTTAGTCATCATTTATTGATGGATTGTAGCACAAATGGTAACTATCATGACTACAGGTGTGACACATTTAATTTAGGTTAATATTTGCAAGGTCAAGGTCACTGGAGATGATTAAATATCCAGATGTTGTCCGGAGCATATTTTCTACATGCATGGAGGAATTTCAATGTTACTTTATAGAATTGTTCACCACCATGAGATGTAGTGCCCTGCACATGAACCAAGTCTCTAGGTCAAAGGTGAAGGTCACAGTTAGAGCTCATAGAAAGACGCTTGTCTGGAGCAAAACTTCTACATGCATAGAGGGATTTCAATATAATTTGGCACAAATGTTCATCATTGTGAGGCTGAGTGCCGTGCATAAAATTCAGGTCCCTGCGACCAAGGTCAAGGTCACACATCCTGTGCATATCTTCCCTACTGATTTGTTTTAAGGTTCATTTAACAACACAGTGCCAAGAATAAAAACTTGCTTGCTAGATAACACTTATCCATAATGCCCCCCATCTCCATCTAAAGCTTTCGTAAACGGGCGTATTTTGTGACTATGGCACCCTTGTTCCCATATGTTAACATTTAAAGTATTTAATTAATGTACAATGTACATTGTACTTGTCATGCTTTGACCTAACAGGCAGTGCAAGGGGCGTCCGTGGCCGAGTGGTTAAGGTCGTTGACTTCAAATCACTTGCCCCTCACCGCTGTGGGTCCGAATCCCGACAGGGACTTTGGATTCTTTCATGTGAGGAAGCTATCCAGCTAGCTTACGGAAGTCGGTGGTTCTACTCAGGTGCCCGTTCGTGCCTGAAATATGCAAGGAAGGCCACCTGAGGTCTTCCTCCACCAGTAAAGCTGGAAAGTCGCGATATGACCTATACTGTGTCGATGTGACGTAAAACCCAAAAACAAAATTTAGGCAGTACAACTTTCTATGATATACATGTATAAGATTTCAATTGACTTCTATCAACCAGTATTGCCCAATATTAACTGATTATAACATGATTGACATGCGATTTTATCAGCTTTGTAAATTTTTTCATGCTTGTTCCCATGTCTGTCTGCATTATGGTCTCACAACTTGATAAACTGTTAAATAGACCAGGGGTGGGGGTGGTGAACTACAAACCATTTGAATGATAAACTGTGCCTTATTATACTACAACTACATAAGAGTTGATATTAATTTCCATTCTAACTTTCAAATAGAAAGAGAATTGATTAAAAAGTGTGGAACTACATTAAACAAAGAAATAATTTTTTATGACATCATTTGCTTTATTGATGTCACATTTGACATCATATGACATGTAATCATATCTTTTTATGCCATGCTTATATTATGTAATAATGCAATTGATTGCCCTGTACATGTATGTTAAATAGTGAAATAGCGTGAAGCATGATATAATACGATAAATAGAATTAACTTATGTATATAAAAGTTTGAGATATCTTACTAGATAGCTTTATTGACAGGTCTGGATTATATACAGAAAGAAGATCCTGATATTTTAAAGCTCAGAATTGAGATTATGATGAAAGAGAACTGCGAGGAGTTTGCCCTGAATCTCTGTAACTGGTCACTCAAACACCCTGCTCTATTGAATGATCTAAAGATCAAAGAACACCAAATCTTCATACTTTATAAACAGCAGGAGTATGGCAAGATGCAGGAAGTGGTAAAAATTGTTTTTTCTTTGATCTCAACAGCTTAACTGTATCTATAATTCATGTTTCCTTTCATTTTCAGTAATTTCTATTAAAAAAAATTGTGTATATGAGCTGCGTCACGACAAAACCAACATAATGGGTTTGCGACCAGCATGGATCCAGACCAGCCTGCGCATCCGCGCAGTCTGATCAGGATCCATGCTGTTCGCTTACAAACCCTATAACAAGTAGTGAAACTGATAGCGAACAGCATGGATCCTGAGCTGACTGCGCGGATGCGCAGGCTGGTCTGGATCCATGCTGGTCGCAAACGCATTATGTTGGTTTTGTCATGACGTGGCTCATATGTTTTCATTAAAGAATTCTGGAAAAAAAAGTAAATGTATCAGTTGTGTAAAGTATCAGTTGTGTAAATAAAGACTTGAGATCTAAATCAGGATCTATATCTTTTTGAAAAAAAATATTTGCCAGTTTTTAGGTGTCATTTACTTAACAATAGCTGATATTTTTTTATCAGGTATTTCCATAGTTTGCATTTATACTGATATAATATTATATGAAAATTTAGGGTAATGTTAATGTTACCTAATTTAAACTTTTCAGTGTGAGACGATCATATGCCATGATGGTATCAAAGTTATGTCCCATTTAGCAAAGACGCCCACTAACCAGGAGCTTTGTATACGCTTGGCACAGGTGTTTCTCATTCAGGACTGGGTAAAACCAGAGCGGACATGTTGTACACAGGTAAACTGTTCTATCTGAGATTTACTTTCCCTTGTCCAGATTGAAAGTTGGGAATGTCTATTTAAGATATTAAGTATAGTATGGTTAAAAACCAACCTTTCAAATGCTGTAATGATTTTCAATACAACTTAGCATTGAACTGCTAGAACTTATCAGTTATCTTATATCTGGTCCTAAACTTATGGGTATGTTAAGATATTTTAGAATTTATAATTTTCTGTCAAGTTTGAATATCACAATTGTGTCTCTAACTTTGTTATTTTTGTCCAGGCAAACAAACATGAAATAGGTAATGAGATTTATTCAGTCCATAATTTTAGTTGAAAGGGAAAGGAAACAACATAATTCACAGTTTAAGTGGTAATTTCCACTTACAGCATGTAATAATGCCTCATAAAGATCAAAGAAAAAGCTCATCTACCCAAAATGTTTATATGTCAATTTGTGTGTATACACAAGATTTACCATAACTGGCACATTGATATACCATAAGTTCTACATTTACATTTTCCAAGAGTGTTATCAATCTATTAAAATTTTTGCATGAATAATCAAAAACCCCTTGGCAGTTCTGTAAATATCTTTCTATTATATTATTTGTCTATAACCATAATTATAATAGTTCATCTTTTTGAATTATTATTAAATATATAGCTTATTCAGTTAAACTGGTAAATGAAAAAAATAAAATAATCTCGGCCCTCAATTCAGGAAAGTAGGGGATGAAATTTATCACCATTTAACTCCCAAAAAAAGATTTTTTTTCTCATTTCTCCTATTTTAAAAATGTATTCCCTAAGATTTTTTTTTTATATAAATTATAAATGTATTTTTCATGCTTTTATCTGCCAAAAGTAGAGGACCCTTGATAATATTCTATTGAAATTTGCTTTTATGAAAAATAAAAATAGCATCATGAGTGTTTTCACTATTGCAATTATGTGCAGCAAAAATTGCCTGAAATTTAGCCCTACAAGAGAAAATATTGTGAAAATTCCCTATCCTACAGGTACATGTACTCTTCCCCTAAAACAGAATGAGAGCAAGCCTTGACAATGTCACTTCTATAGAAATTACTATTATATCTTACAGGAGCTGCTAAAGCTGTGGATACACCATCAATATTTGGCAGATAAAGATGAGGAGCGTTTCCTAGATAGTATTTGGACAGTTGCCAAGGTGTGCCGGGATACAGAGCAAATTGGAGTGCTTATTGATGGTGTTAAAAAAGAGGTAAGTGATTTTTCAGCTCGACTATATGGAAATGATAAAGTTTCACTGATTGAAGTTAGAACTGAGCATAATGATTGGTATATAACTTACTAACTTACTAAGATGGTGAAATAACTTACCAAGGTGGTGAAGTTAACTGATTGAACTAATTAGAATTGAAATGATTGATACACAAGGCGTGTTGGTAAAGTTCCCGGACGATTGTCAATTTAAATAAAATTGTTGATAGATTTCTAAAAGAAGCTGCTCAATTTCCTTTCATATTTGTACTATCATGCGCAATTTTATCCAATTATGTGCATTATGTACAAAATTATAAAACAATATGAATATACATCATTGTCGCATCAGCCCGTGTGACAACGTTTTGAAGATAACGACGTTGACATTCACTCTTTCTCAAATTATCGTCCTTATGCTGCAGTATATTCTTGATGACGCATCACCCACGACTGAGAAACATTTCTTGGTCATTGACATATTTTCAGTTATCTTGTGAATTGTTGTTTTACTGTTGTGACACTTTTCCGCTATTTCTGGCACTGACATACGAGGGTCGCCATCAAGCATTTCCTTAATCTCCTCACAAGAGATGCTTGTTATTCCAGCTCTCTGATCATCTGCAGCAGGTGTGCGGCCCACTTTGAATCTTTTATACCATTCATACATCAAGCATTGTTCATGTTTCTTTTGGTGATACATTATGAATTTGAAAGTTCTGAATAGTAACTCGCTGTTTTCCGATAATATCTCGATCCATGGTCAGTAAGAGTACAGTGCCATTTTAACGTTATTATTACATCATTTAAATCTAAAACCATTCCAAAAATGACGTCAGATTGTTGCTGCAAATTTCATGATGCTTTTCCTTTGTTACATTATTATGAACCAAAGTGTTTTGAAACAGATATAGACTTGAGCCATGTTTTACATATAGGGGTTGCTATAAAAACCATATCTTGTGACCTTCAAATAGCTTACAATATATATTTTAAGACGAAACTTGTCACATATGTAATTATAATATATATGAATTTCATATATATAACTTTATAAATAAAAAAGTTAGGTCTGGCGTACGGGAACTTAAAGGACACACCTCCTATATCTTACCAAGATGGTGAAGTTTACTGATTGAACTAATTAGAATGATTGGTATATAACTTAGCAAGATGGTGAAGTTAACTGATTGAACTGATTAGAATGATTGGTTTATAACTTATCAAGATACAGTCCAACCCCGTTTATTCGAAGTGCCTGGGACTGAATATTTACTTCGAACAATCGATGGGTTCGAATAATCTAAATCGAAATATTGTAATAGACGAAAACTACTCCACTTTGACCAATCATCGAAAAACTACCGTTTACAACACACTTGCTTCCTGTAATCAATTGAGAAAAATAAATATCTAAGAAAAGATGCGTAAAAATTATTGTATTGACATTGAAGACATAAATACTTGCATTTTATTTTACATTATGTATCGTTTCGTTTCGCGCAAAGCCTTGATAATGGCCGTGTCGTCACTACGGTATTTTCAGCTAAACTCTGGTATTTTCGATTAGGATAAATTAAGGCTCTCATGTAGCGTTACAATTAATGAAAAAAAAGTTTTGGATGTTTTGACAAATTCACATATACGGAAAGTATAAAAATTATTGCTGTCATCTTCAACAAAATCGGACACGGTGCATAGCTTTTCATTTTCGGTAATTAAAGTTGATTAAAGAACACACAAAATGTTATTATCATGATTGTCTAATTACACGCATGACTGTGGATATTTTTCACAAGTCGACTGGTCAGCGAGTGGATCTGCGCCAATTAGTCTGGCTTCGAATAATAATTAGGCTGGCTTCGAATAATAGGTGTGAAATTCTTTCATAATTGTATAATCGGGACCGAAATTTTACTTCGAAAAATAGGAGGTATTCGGATAATGCATTTCGAATAATACGCTCGTATTTATATTGTTTTATATAGAGATAAAAACGGGACCGCCGATCTACTTCGGATAATGCCGGGTATTCGAATAAAGGGTTGTCGAATAACCGGGGTCAGACTGTAGTAAACTGATTGAACTAAATAGAATTGGTATAAAATTAAAATTTGTATATGACTTACCAAGATGGTGAAGTTAACTGATTGAAAAAAATAGAATGATTGGTATATAACGTACAAAGATGGTGAAGTTAACTGATTGAATTAATTGAACCACTTGGTATACATTTTACCAAAATGGTAAATATAAGTTGTTTGAACTGGATAGAATGTTTGGTATATATTTTTTCAGATGATATATTGAAACTAATAGAACTGATAAGAATATATATATAAAATACAAAATGGTAAAGGTAAACTGAACAAATTGGTATATATCTAACCAAGATAGGTTAATTGAAACTTCTAGAAGGATTGATATCTATCTTTCCAATATGTTAAATATAAACTGGATGAACTAATTAAATTGATTGATATATATTTTCCAAGATGGTTAAACTATTTAGAATGATTCACTTGTATATATCTTTCCAGGATTGTTAATGTAAACTTACTATATGTTGTTTATATTTTACAGTGTGGAGATATGTTCATCCAGTTATATTCCGAGCTGTGTAAGTTTGCTATCAACATTGATAAGGGAAACATGGAAAGAGAAGAGGTGCAGAAAGATCCTGAAGAGTACAATACAAGACGCCTAGCGATGTCAAAAACCTGTGTACGCATGGCGTTCATGCTGAAAGAATATGACTTTAGAATTTCAAGAATTTGTGGATTAACAGCATTCGCCTTGGATCCTACAATGGATAATTTGAATCTAGTGAATAAATTGTACTGGACAATGAAGAATGTGTCAGCTGCCTCACAGAATAGTAAGATTAACATAGCCACTTTATATGAAATTGAACGCTTGCTTGGACAGATGCGACCAGATTCTTTAAACCCGGAATATAGTTGGAAACAGTTAATACCAGTGTGTAAGAAATATAAACTTGACTATGAAAATGATAAAAGTAGCATTCCATTGAAGAATGCACTTAAGAGAGAAAGAACTGCATCACAAAGTCTTGCAGAAAATATAGTGCAACCTGTACCACACATGTTAGATATTGTTAAAAGTGATAAAGAAGTGACAAAAAAGATTGATACTGGACAGAAAAGAGGGAAAAAACCAAAGAATGCAGTTCCAAAAGATATTCAGAAAGCTCATTTAGTCAAAATGTTGGGTCAGAAGAACTTAACACAGGAAGAAATAGAGAAAGTGTTAAGTAAGGAATTCCCAAGAAATATGAAACAAGAATTTGGTGATGCACCAGCGTTGGATGTGAAAGAGTTGGATAAAACCATAAATGATCTGAAAAAGTCAATATATCTCGAGACTCAGTATAGAGAAAGAATTAAGAATAATCTTTCCTCGCTTCAAAAATGTAAGAAACCTAACATTGAACCAGGAGAGGTAAAGAAACAACATTTAAGTAGGCAAGAGATGTTTAAGCAGCAGCAACAAATGACTCATCAGAAAGATCCTAGTTATCAAAGGCAGCATAGTGCCCCTGGGGGCTCTCAATCTTATGGTCCCATTTTACAGAGGCAGTTATCCATGGGTAGTCCTCAACCACCAAATGCCCATAGTCATCATCGGCAACAACATATGTCACCACCATTTGGTGGCTCACCTCCACCAGCTCATAGTACATCCCCCCGCATGGCATCACCTACAGGTTTTTCATCACCTTTGTCACCACCAGGTTTCAGGCAGCATTCTGCAAGTCCCAACATTCTAAGCAGTCGTAAATCAGGTTCTTACTCACAAATGAAAACTAGTCAAAGTCATTCAAATATTCCTCAGCAGTTGTGCAATAAGATTAAAACTGAGCTCGTGCAACAGTCAGAGCAAACAAAGCGCCTAAAAACTACTGCATTTAATATTTTAAGACCACCTGGTAATTCAAAGCAAGAGTGTGCTAAAATTGCTCAGCAGATAGCAGAAATGCATGAGCGCCAGAGAGCTGAAAAACTTCAAACTGCAAGGATTCAAGGTCAGATTGATGGAGCTAAAGTGGCTCTCAACTCGAGAAATATTCCAAGTCGTAGTCAAATTTCTGACCTGCTTAGCCTGACCTTTCAAGGCAGCAAGGGACAAAATATTGTGGAAGGACAAAAAAGCCCTATTTTGCATGGAACAGACACAGACTTGGGCAAAAGTTATTTAAAAAAGAAACTGGAGAGGTCAGGATCTGTTTCCTCAGTTCATAGTTTATCTTCACCAGAAATTGTAAGAAGAGCATCCCTTTCTATGCAAGGTGGTGAGGTATCAAATGTTAAAAATTCTTCATACTCCTCTCCATGCCCATCTTCAACCGCTTCCAGTAGCCAATCTTTTTCAAATAGAAGTCATTCTACAGGAAGAGTTCCAAATGAAAGTCTTTCGCACTCCACAAAAGTTGACAAATGTATGTTAGTCCCAGGGGAGCAAGGTTGGGATCCTTCACGAGGCATTATGAAACAGAAATATTACTACAAACATCCAGCCAAATCAAAAGTTGGTGTTGCAAAGAGAAATTCTGGTGAGTCACCTGTAGCTATGAAGCCAGTGTACTCAATGATTGTCCCAAAAGAACTAACAAATCCAAACAGAAAGGAAGAATTAGTTAAAACAGTCACAGATATGATGAAAAGATTCCCAAAAGGCATTAATTCTCAACAAATAGGATCAAACTTTACAACACAGTTACCAGAATCTTCACAAGCAGTATTGCAAGTTCTAAATCAAACTTCGGCAAAATTAGAGCAGAAGCAAATCACTTCTGGGCAGCAAATGCAAATCAAAACAAGTCCTCCAAAGCTTGTACCTACATCATCAATAACAAGTATAAAAAGTGATTCTAGTATGTCAGATAATCATTCCAACTTTCAATCTCCAATTATTCCAGTGAATTCTACATCCATTGGGCAGCATTTAATGGAAGAAGGACTCTTGAATCTCAATACTTTAGCTGCAGCAAGTATGTCTGTTTTGGGACAAGATGCAACCCAGCAACCAGTGATTAGTTCTCTGCAGTTACCACAGTCAATACAACAGCAGACAATACAGCAGCAATTTGGTAACCCTGTCATTGAGCCTCAGCCCATGTTTTCTCCAGTTCAGCAAGAACAGGTCTCAGTTCAACAGGTTGTACAACAGCCAGAAACCATTCTTGCAACTCCACTTTACACCATGCCAAATTCAGTTATACCGGAACCAGTACTGACTCAGCAACTAGGTGGAATTCAGCCACAAGTTGATATTGGCTTGCAGCAACCAGTTGTGCAACAAATCATTGTACAGAACCATGGCATGAACCATTCTCAGTCTTTTGTAAATGTTGTCAGTCAACAGCCAGGTTTTCAGGTAGCAACTGTTGGACAAGTTAACTTCAATAATGTGACTCAGCCATTGACAGGTATAATGTCACCATCGATTGCTGGCGGAATGACACAGCAAATTTCTGGGGGTATACCTAACACTGTAATGGATTGTGTTTCTCAGTCTTTCAACGTCCCTAGTGAAATTATGCAGCCAATAAGTAGCAATAATGCTGCCCTTACATCTTCAGCAGAAAGACCTGTTGCTGCAAAACAATTTTTAGCACCACCAGAACTTAGTCCAGCTCTTGTTCAACAAATTTTATCAAGTCTTAAGAAAGGAGGAGCTAGGCCTAATAATCACAGTCAGTCTAAAAGTCCGAATGAAAAAAAGACATCTAATAAGGGACAAAAACAACAGTCAGCTACAACTAATAAGACTCATGTCAGTGTTAATGAATCAGTTAAACAAATGATAGTGAATAAAAAGGATACTGCTGCAAATCAGAGTGTAGACGAAGCTAGACAAAAAATTCTACAGCTAAGGAAACAGTTTGAACAGACGGCTGATTCTAGTGCCAATGTTACAAATATATCTACTGTACTGCCAAATAAACCAATCATATCATCCCTGCCTAACACTGTTAGCAGTCCAAGGAGAGGCAGTGGAATTTTAGAGAGGCTTATGTCAGATGATAAGGAAGTAAAAATTAGTTCAGACATTCCAAATGTAAATTTTTCATTACCCACTCAGTCAAATAAAAGTGCTTCTCAACATAGTTTGCCAGAACTTGTAGACCTTGGTGCTAAAGAGTTTCAGCTGGATTCAATTCTAGCACTTGATAATGATATCAATGAAGGCAGTGAGCGTATGGTACTTAACAAACCTGTTGTACCAGTGTACTCAGTAGCGAATAATGATCAAGTTGGAACACGTGGACCTTCAACTACTAGTAAAGAAGTTCAGTTAAAAAGTGACGCAGAAAAGTTTTTAAGTGATAAAGGCGTTCATCAACTCATGGCATCTGCTGTAAATACACAATTGAACTTAGAAAATCAACAAAATATTCAAAATGAAAAGCAGCAGGAGCACACCTCTCTAACTCCAAATCAGTCAACATATTTCAATGCTAATAGATTAGGTAAAGAAAGGGAAAATAGGGAGATTAAACCACAGCTTGCTGTCACTGAAGAGTTGAAACAGACTGTTAATCATCAGGAAAAAATACGAAATATGTGTGTTAATTGTGATATTGAGTTCCCTACAGAGCAACTATTGATAGAACATAAGAAAATATCACTCTGTGAACATAAATGGAAGTGTGTTTATTGTAAAATGACTTTTAAGTGTGCAGAGATTTTGAAATCACATGAGAAAAATTACTGTTTGAAGGCACCATCTACAATGGTAAGATGCAGTATTTGTGGTGTATATTTCCAATCCCATGAACAATTGAAAGCACATTTAAATCCTAAAACATGTACACCTCAAAACATGTTTAAAGAAAAATCTCAGTCTGATGAAGATATAGTGTGTGGTATTTGTAAACGGAAATTTGAATCAATGGCACTCATTAAAGAACATGTCAAGGTAGGTTGTCTGAAAAAGGAAAATAATACATACTCAAAAGTTGTAAAATTAGGAGACTTTGATTTTTCTGTGATGTTTAAATGCACAAAATGCAATTTTATTAACGTGAATGAAAATATTGTCTCAAAACACGTTGAGAAATGCAGAGAAAACAACTTGTCAGCAAAACTGACAGAAACATATACCTGTAACATGTGTCAGGAAACATTCTGTGTCCGTGAAGATGCATGTAGACATGTTAAGCGCCAGTGTACAAAGTTAAAAGTGACAAACTCACAAAGACAGGTCCAAGATGTATACAAGAAAATAAAAGATGGAAATACAACTAAAGAAAGTTCTGATAAGAATAAAAAGGTTATTGAGCGTAAGAGAAACAAGCAGATGGTCAACGAAAAAGTGATAAGTGATCACAAGGACAAAGTAGAAACAGATACCGCTGAATCAGAACTGTCAACACTTATTGAAAAAAATGACAAGCATGTTAAGGATATTGATAGCAAGCTTTCAATGAAAACTCACCGGACACAAAAATCAGGTATTGAAGTCATAAATCCTGAGTCACATGCTACTGTATTACCTGTTGAAAAGGATGCAAAGAAGAAAGTCAAAGATGAAGCTGTTGAGAATATTAATACAGAAAATACGTCAGCTGAAATTTTAGAGAAGTTAAAGGCAGAAGAGAAAAGAGCTCAATTTGTTGATATACCTAAAATTCCAGAAGCTTTGAGACCGACAATTCCAGCTATGGATGACAAGGCAATTGAATTAACAGAGTTGCAAAAGGTTCAGCGTATTACAGCAGAAAATAAGTTTTTGGCTGAGTTTAATGAAATAGAAAGACGAAAACAGGCAATTCGAATGAAGAAACAGAAAGAATTGGAGAAGCAACAAGAAATATTTGAAAGGATGGAAAGGGATGAAGAATTAGAGTTAATGAAACAGAAAAGAATGCAGCAAAAGATGCAAGAAGAAAGGGAAAAGGCTAAAAAAGTTTGTGAAAAACAAGGAAAGGAAAAAAATACCTTTGAAACAGAAAAAGAACAATATATAAACAGCATTATTGGGACTTCAACCTTGGAACAAAAAATGAAAGAAAGTGTTGAGAAAGAAAAGAATCAGAAAAAACTTAATAGAATAATTAATAATAAGGAAGGCACTGTAAAGGTTTTAAACGTTTTCAACAATGAGGGAAAATGTGCAACACAGGAAGGTTCTTGGAAGGAAGGCAAGGTTAAAGGTGAAAACAAAAGTAAGATAAAGACTGAAAATGAGATGATTGATATTGAATTAAACGAAAACCGGCAAAATGTTAGAAATAATACTGAACATGAAACAAATAAGAAGAAAAGGAAGAAATATCAAGATACTGACGATGATGATGCTATGATTGTAATGCCTCAGGGTAAAAAAGTCTTTAGAGCAAGTATTGAAGTATCTGAAAGAAAAAATAGTAAAGAGGTTGACAGGTCAGAAATTTCGAAACAATCTAACAGAATCTTGAAGAAGAAACAACTTTCTCCTCAAGATATCAGAAAATTAAGGGGATTGAGAGCTAAACAACTTATTAAGAAGAAAAAGTATTTCATTGATGAAATGGAGCCAATTCAGAAAGATAAATTTAAAAAGGAAGTTGATAAGGAAGATGAATGTCAAAACATGATACAGAGAATTAAACAAAATCATAGAAAAATTAGAACAGAGATCAAGGGGCAAGAAATAGAGCCAGTTCTTAAAGAGAAACAAAAGAGGGATAGTGAAAAAGGAAAAATGAGAAGCAAAGGGAATACTACTTCAAGAGAAGTTATGATTGACAAAAAACATCAAAACAGTATTTTAAGCACATATGAAGATATTAACAATCGGGTTAAAGAGGAAAACTCGGTACGGATTTGTAGGAAATTATGTCGATTTTGTGGCCTTTCTGGTAGAGGTAATAATATATTATCCCATTATATACAAACACATAAGCTTGGTTTCCGTCAAATTAGTTATAATTACTTCTGCAACTTTTGCAACAAAAAATTTCCATCAACACAGACAGTACAAATAAAAGAACATGTCTTTAATAACCATCGGGAAGCAGTTTTAGGAAGAGTAGCAATAGGGAGATATGATAAAAAAGTTGAATTCTTGTCAAATTATAAGTCAATTTCTCCAGGAAAAAAGATAAATTCTCAACAATGTTTTGGAAAGTTAAGCAAGAGGAGAAAACATCTTCGAGCTCTTGAACTCAGAAAAAAATGTGCTGAGAAATTAAGAGAAATCACACTTGTTCGAAAAAACTCCATTATAGACCTTTCAGATCTAGAGGATGAAAGTCAAGCATCTTGCAGCTCAAATCATACATCTGATACTGAATCACCATTTAAGGATGAAGTTCTTGCTGATAAAGAAGTTAAAATTGAGCAGAAAGGACAGGTTACAGGTGATGAACCTGAGGTCAGAGATGGACGAAGGATTGCACCAAGACTAGCAAGGCAAATGGTTAAAGGCAAGGAAACAAGAGGCAAAAGAATAAATTATTTTGAAGAGTTAAAAAAGACATCTGATTTAGATGACTCCAGTGATACTCAGGTTATGACAAGATCAAGATCTAGTTCAGTTAGTAGCAGCAGCCGATCAAGTCTTATTGCATCAGCTAAGAAGAGAAAGTCTGCTTTTGCTATCTCAACTAGGGGATCATTAAAAGCTCGTCAAAAGAAGTCGGGAAAGAGTGGTACTTTGTTACTTACAAGAAGTGGCAGAGCTGTTAAACGACCAGAAATAGATTATGATAAACTGACAGAATCATCTGGTCTAGGAAGTGGTGAGGATAATTCAGAATTAGAAGACACTGATATAAGAAAAAGAAAATCAACACGGATACGGCGATTGTCTGAGAAAGGCAAAACACAAAGAAGAAAATCTTCTGACACAGATGAAAGCTCTGCTGAAGAGATAAAGAGAAGAATTACAAGACGTTCTTTGTCTAACAGTCAGAAGGAAAATGATAATAATTTTTCTGATTCTCAAAACACAGATGAAGATAGCAAAGATATTAAGAATAAAAGACCTTGCATGAGTCAGAGTCCTGGCAGAAAGAATTACAATGAAGCAACTAGTCTACATATTTTAAAGAATAAAGGTAAAGGTAAGGAAAAAGATGTTAAAGCAGACAGAATTATTACAAGACAGATTTCAAAAAACGAAGAAGAGTCCGATTCCGAAACCGAAAGCAATTATACAGATATTGAACATGTTGTGAAAATGCTTAGCGTTAGAAAATTACGGAATGCAGCAATAAAAAGTGCTGAATCGGACTCCGAAAGCACTTCTGCTGATGAAAATACTTTGGAAAGAAAGTACAAATTAAGAAAAAGACATGCAAATAAAAAGTATCGAGAGACTGAAAGTTCTGATGAAGAAGTTAGTAATGAGAAGGAAGTTAAAGCAGATGATGTTTCTAAAACAGAAAAGAGTCAGAAAAATGATCAGCAATTAGATGTTCCTGTAAAACAAAAAAGTAATTTTTCTGAAGGTGAAATTGTAAATACAGAAAAGCCAAAAGTTGTTTTAATTGGAGCTGAAGAAGATGATGATCTTAATGTTGATTATGGACAACTTAAGGAGAATGCAGATTATTTTGATTCTCAGGCACCTAAAGTTTATTCACAATGTGATGAAGTCGAGCTGTATAAGCATGACAACAATTCTGAGGCAAGCAATGAAAGTCAGATTAATAGGATACATCAGGATAATGAAATTGCCTCAAATGCAAAAACTGTTTTGATAGATCCTGAAGATGAATTTGCAGGACTTGAGGCTTCTCCAAAGAAAAGTTATGATAGGGAGAAAAGTGCCGAGTCGGAAATCATTTCAGAAAGTGTTAGTGAAGTTGAAACAGAGGTGGAATCAAGTACATTGCCAGCAAGTGTCATGGATTTTGATGAATTTGAATTTTTAAAGAGTAATCAAACTCTAACTGGTGATATAGAAAACCATCTAAATTCTTCATCAAATATGCCACATAAAGCAGCATATGATAAAGAATTTATTAGGTATACTGAAACAGAAAAGCTTGAATGTAACACAGAGTATGAGTCAGATTCAACTGAGAATGTGCACACTCATAACACAAATGAAAGTTTAGATGAAATTCATTTGCATAAAGGCTGTGTAGATGATGAAATTCCACCATTGGCTGAAGATGTCCCAATTTTACCACCAAGAGATTTAACAGGGAAGAAAAAGATTATGAAAGATACAGTGAAAAAAGAATCTATTGGTGGAAGGAAAATCGCATGCCCACTTAAGATAAATGTTACACCATTGTTGAAATCTGCCAGAGTTGTTATTGAAGACATTTCTGTTGTTAGAAAGGCATTAGAGGTAGATAATGTTGAAAAGAAATTGATTCAAGAATGTGAAGCTTCAAGCTGCAAGGTCAGAATTGGTAGATTATCAAGAGAAGAGATTGAAAAGCATTCCCCAATTGCAAGGAAAGATGTGAAACATGATGTAATTGAGGATGAAATTATTGCTAAAAAATCTACACATAAGATAGCATGTGAAAAAGTACCTGATGAAAAGAAGATTCAAAACAGTTCACAAATGGAGAATAACCAAACTGAGAATAACCAAAGTGATAATAAGGAAGCAGATAAATTAGAAGGCCAGTCATATGAAACATTGATACAGGACATTGTACTTGATGGCTCCTTCATAGATCAGCTTCTAGTCAGTGAAAGTATTACATTTAAAATTGACAGCCAAGAACAATCAGGGGCTGAATGTTTACAGGTTGTTGTTGAAGAAAACCAGTTTACTCAAAATGGGACAGTATTTGCAGTTGTCAAGCCTGAAAAAAAAGCTGAAAACCAGTCAGAGGAAGTAATTGCAACTAATGTTATTGCCTTAATTACAAAAGGCCAGGTTGATACTTCGAAAGAGTTAGTTTTGAATAAAAATGCATGTCAGCAAGAACAGGAAGAAGAAGATGTATGGATTGAAAATGCAGAGACTTACGCAGAAACACCAGTAAAATCTGAAATTTCAAATAGCATTGTTTATGATAACACTCTTGTGGTGTTGGAAGACGGAGATACTTTCAGTTTACCAGACTACTCTAATTTACCTGATCTGCCTGAAGAAGAGCATATAGTACTAACACAATTATCTAGTGATAACAATATTGATAAAATAGAAGAGATGCCTTGTCATGAAGATAAAATTAGAATGACACCAAATGAGGCAAGCCAGAAACTGAATGAGGGTGTTGAAGTAGGGTCCATTGCAGAAACTCATAGAAATGTGGAGAAACTTGAATCAGATGCAACATTGGAAGACTGTAAGCCAACTAAGCATCCTAGTGGGATATCTGATGAAGTCACAGATTATGTTAAATCTTCACTTGATACCGAGATAAAAGAACTTGGTGTAGACTTTTCTTTAGAAGAGAATATAAATTATAGCCCTAACACAAGTGAAATTAAGGATTTGCTTCAAGACCAGCACATTTCATCTACAAGTAAATTCCACACTAGTATTGAACTATTGAAAGTTGTAAATGAAAATGAAATAGTCCAACACACTCAACCAGTCCATAATGACCAAAATGTTGTACATAATTCTTACTCTGTAACTAATGATACAAGCCTTTCTAACAAAATTTTAAATGACCCTGAAAGTAAAAGTGAACCATCAAGTATGGTGCAATGTGAAAATGCATTGAATAGAAATGATGTTGAAGAGACATTAAATGAAAAAGATGTTGAAAATTTAGAAAATATGTCAGAGCAAGTATCATTTTCTCAGTTACATAATCAAGTTCAAATAGATAAAAATGATGACATTGAAATGAAGAGTCAAACAAATGAAACAGTGATAGAAATAAGAAATAACTTGGCATATTCTTCAGAAAACTGTGAGAAATCGGAACCAGACACAAAACTAATCATTGGTCAACAAAATGACCATGATAACCTTCAAAAAGAAAATTTAGGGAATTCTCTAATAGCAAGCGAGTTAGAAGAAACACATGTGAAGCACAGTGATGTGGAAACAAACTTCAAAGAAGTTCATTCCTCGATATCCTGTGAAGAGCCTCTTATTCAGACACAACAATACACAGAAATTCATGAACATAAAGAAAATGTAGATTCTTTTGAAAATAACTTGCCAAATAGTGACCCATCAAATATTGCATTTGATACTATAGGGACAAATACAACTTTAGCTGTACAAGAAGGCAAAGTTCTCACAAATGAGGAAATCGTTGAAGATACAGACCTTGCTTGTAAAGAACCACCTGCTTTTGTTACTGTAGATGACATGGATATTGATTATAACAAAACTGTCTTAGACATTGTTGGTACAACAAAAGAACATATAGGCAGTTCAGATAAAATTTCAAGTAATGAGATTGATGTAGAAAGACCACATAGAGAAGCAAATAGCAAACCTGACAGTTTAGAAAGTATTGTACCAATTTATGCAGAAAATGAAAATGAATGTATTCACCAAATTATGTATCAACCTGATGTACTAGAGTCAAGTAAAGAGAATGAGAGTCATGGGACTGATGTAGAGACACCACATAAAGAAGCAAACGAAGAAACTGAAAATTTAGATAGTACAATCTTTACAGGGAATGAAAATGAAAGTATTGACCAAATTAAATATCAGCCTGATGTTGTGGAGTTTTCTGAATACAAAGATGTAAAAGCTATATTATTAGAGATTTGTGATGAAGTTGCAAGTACTAAAGACAATCTTCAAAATGATAAACATGAAATGCTTGGAAGTGAAAATATGACTGTCACTTTTCCAGAATCTTCAGAAACAGTAGAACCTTTATTGACAACAGATAATTTGCTTCAGCAAGGTTCAACACGGGTATCAACAAATGTTAAAGATGAGAATATTTCATGTGAAAATTTTGAAGAAAAAGATGAAAAAAATAGAATTGTAGATTTCGATAGGCATGAAGTTTCAGAAAAAACTGATGACACTTTAAAGCCAAAAGAAAATAACTTACCATGTCATTCTCCAGATTTAAAGAATTCTGAAGATACTACTCTGCTGGAGGAAATAAATGTTGCTTATGATGAAGGTAAGACAAATGAAGGTTCAGATGAAAGTTTTGCATCTTCCAATTCATCTTTACTTGCATTACAAACATATTCCGATTCTTCAGACAATGAAGAAGACACTACAGATAAATTTGAAATAACAGGTATTTTAGAGGATTCAGAAACCATTGATACAAGTAAAGAAGTTTGTAAATCAGATGAAAAAATAACTGTAGCAGTGAGTCAGTATGTTGTTCCTGTGCCTATGGAAATAAGTCAGATCGATGAAACCGAACAATTGCCAAGTATGCCAAATCTTTTAAATTGTTGTGCAAAAACAGAAGTTAATACTCTAATAGGAACAAAGCTCTGTGATATGAATGAAAAAAGTTCAGATAATGTTTCTGAAGGTGTAGGAGAGTGTAATGAAATGAACACTATAAACAACCACAGTCAATGTCTTGAATTTGATGTAAATGTAGAACAAGAAACAGCTCTCTCAAAAACAGAAAGTGTGTGTGTATTGGTGCAAACTTCTTGTGAAACTGTTAGTGATAATGATCTTAAATCTAACGCTATTGAAACAATGACAGGAGAGCTTGATTCTGATTTAGAATTGTCTGAAAAACAGCCAAACGCTAATATACAGGTTGAAGTTGTAACAAATCATAATAATAAATTAGAAAACAAAGTTAATGACCAAGAATCAGTAAATATACAAGATCCTAATGAAACTAATACAAAAATGTCTACCAATACAAATTGTTCAAGAACATATGAACAGCTGGACAGTGATATTTTATATCAAGATACATGTGATAAACTAGAAGGATATCACTTAATTGAGAAGGAAAGGCTAAGCCCTGTCAATATGGCTGGAGAAGGTGTTGAGCATCAGAGAAATGTTGATACAGAAGCTAAGACTAGAAAGGATAGTGAAATAAGTATCAAAGATGTGATTGAAAATGATAATTTTCTCATTCAGTCGAAAGAGAAAGATGATAGTGGCTTTCTGCAACTTTCAGCCCAAAATGAAATTGATTCCATTAAACCGAAATTAGGTGTTACCAAAATAAATGAAGACTATGCAAATGAATTTGAGCTAATAGATGTAACATCCTCAGAAGTTTTGCAAGGAGTTGGACATGTTAAAGGTGTAGATCAAACTATTAAAGAGCCAAAACTTGAAACAACTACAAACGAAGAAGTTTCATTAGTAGATCTACTTGAACCAAATGAATTGCATAGTAGTGAAGAAACAGAAAAGGGTGAAATAGAGACTGTTTTGAATGATACAAAAATTAATCAAGATATTGTGACAGTTGTTATACAAGAGGAGAAACCTTTGCATGAAGAGCCTATTGGTGTTGAAGAAACTGAAAAAGGTGAAATAGAGACTATGAATGATACAATCATTAATAAGGACATTGTGACAGCTGTTATACAAGAGGAGAAACCTTTGCATGAAGAGCCTATTGGTGTTGAAGAAACTGAAAAAGGTGAAATAGAGACTATGAATGATACAATCATTAATAAGGACATTGTGACAGCTGTTATACAAGAAGAGAAACCTTTGCATGAAGATCCTATTGGTGTTGAAGAAACTGAAAAAGGTGAAATAGAGACTATAAATGATACAATCATTAATAAGGACATTGTGACAACTGTTATACAAGAGGAGAAACCTTTGCATGAAGAGCCTATTGGTGTTGAAGAAACTGAAAAAGGTGAAATAGAGACTATTACGAATGATGCAAATATTAATGAGGACATTGTGACAGCTGTTATACAGGAAGAGAAACCTTTGCATGAAGAGCCTGTTGGTGTTAAAGAACCAGAAAAAGGTGAAATAGAGACTATTACGAATGATGCAAATATTAATGAGGACATTATAACAGTTGTTACACAGAAAGAGGAACATTTACTGGAAGTACCTGGTAGTGTTGAAGAAGCAGGGCAGGGTGAACTAAAGCCTGTCAAGAATATTACAAATATTTGCCAGAACAGATTGCCAGTTGTTGAACAGGAAGAGAAGCCTTTACAGGAAATGCAAATAGAAAATATTACAATAAAATTGTCTGTAAAAGATAAAGTTGAATCTGAAAAAGAAATGGTTGACAATATAACTACAGAATTAGAAGGAAACAGTAGTGTCGATGGCAATTTGATTTCAGACACTGGATACAGAGAAACTTTGGCTAATCTGGATAAATGTCTTGAAATTTCTGACTTAGATAATAAAAACCATAAAGTAAGGTTAGTCCGTCAAACAAGTATTTCTAGTTCTTCAGACATCAGTTTGATTTCATGTCCAGAATCTACAACAGAACAAAGAGAAGAAAATGAGGAAGATAATAATAAAAATGAAAATTTAGATTTCACAAAAACATTTGAAAATACTGATAATGTTTTAAAAGAGGGAAGTTTACATGAATTGAATTTTACAGAAGAATCAAAACTGAAAACTTTAGTACAGAACAGTATGGATTCCAACATTGAAAGGTCTCAACAAATTGCTGTTGATTTTGAAAAGCCTATTCCTGAAGTACAGTTTCAGGCCCATTTCGAAGAAAAGGATGTCTTTAAAAATGTAGTGAAAAAACAATTTCAACATAATACAGAAGAACCTAGAGGAAGGTATGATCATGTTATTGAAGAACACCAATATAATTCAAAAAATATTTATTCTGGTGCTAATGCTAATTTATATCCAACTAGTGCTGAGATAAATATGGCATGTGAGCCAAGTGATGAAGTGAATAAAGCAGAAATCTATGAACTAATTCATGAAGATGGCTCTGACATAATTAAAAATATTTCAGAAGAATCCCATGGTGTGACTGGAACACTTAATGTTGAGTTTTGTAGGAATGCATCAGTTGAGATTTGTGTAGACAACAATGGCCAGATTCAAGAGCAAGACCTGTTGGAAAAAGATGTTGATCAAAGTTTTCTTCCAAATTTAAAAGATGGAACAGGTTCAGATGAAAATATAAGCGAAGCAGCTGACTTAGAATTGACTGTAATTGATGAAGAAGAGTGTACTGAGCTTGAAATGAAATATGATAATCAAAATACTTTACATCTGAAAGAAAGTTTGATGGAAGAAAAGAAGCAAACTGAATGTGCACAAAAAGATAAACGTGAACGTGAAGAGAATTTGAATATTCAGGAATATATTAGAATTGAAAGTCAGCAAAATTCTGAACACCGTGAAAAGGAAAGTCAGCCACAGACTAAAAGACAACGTACTGACTCATGTGAAGATGTTGAAGAAAAGTCTGATTTAAGTGAATCAAATCATCAACAATCTAACACTGGAAGTGAAAACATTGTCGAGTTTAAAGATGATGAAATGAATAGTAAAAATGAGGAAGTGGAAGCATCCATTGTCAAAGAGGAAAACACTACTAAGAAAATATCAAACAAGGGAGAAGAGGCAAAGTCAAGTATTGTTGACAAAGATATAGATAGCACTTTGTCAAAGGCAAACAAAGATCCTACAACTCAAACATCTGGTAAAGTTGAATTGGTTAATATGTCAAGTCTTGAAAATGATGAAGAAGATCCAACTTTAGATAAATGGGTAAAAGAAATTTTGAATAAGGAAACAGAAGAGAAAAGAAAAGTATTTGAAATCCCTAGCCCTAGACGTAAGGGGATGATTGTATGGGCAACTTGTATACATAAGAAACCATTAAATCCTTTTGTAGAAACAAAATCACTTAAAAAGGAAGACAATCAAAAAAAGGAGACCAATGTTTTGAATCGACCTGGAACAAGAAAGATGCATGCGGACCAATATGATAATCAGGCAAATTTAGAGAAAATCAAAATTACAACTAATGCACCAACAGGTATAGTTGAGGAAATTTGTAATGTAAAGGACAGGAAGGAAATGAAAAAGACTGAACGCAAAGCTACTGCTGTTGAAGATTTAGGTATTAATAATACACAGAGTACTAAAGTTGAACAGAACAATAGTCAAGGCAAAGACTTGTTTAGGAGATCTGGAAGTACTCAAACATTAAACACTTTGTCAGTTGTACAAGGTAAAGAAATGAGTGCAAGAAAAGCAAACAAAACCAAGTCCAATCAACAAAGAACTGCAAGGCAAATATCAACTGAACTTAAAACTATTAATAAAGAAGTCATTGGAAATAATCAGCAAACAAAAACTCAGTCTTCACAAAGTTTTCCTGAAGAAGAAATTGTGAATTTAAAGATGGAAAGTATTGAAAATAAAGGCCTTAAGCAGGAAAATCAAACTGAAGAAATCCAGCGTGCAGATGAAACTGATGAAGAATTTAAGAGAAGAACAGAAACTGTAAGGTCAGCCAGGAGAAAATCAGCTGTGAAACCTTATGAGTCAGACTTTAATTTTGAGGATAATGGGAATAATTTAAAAGAAGCAAATAATCAGGTAATGCCCTCGACTTCTTTCTGGCCTTCAGATTCTGAAAATAAAATGGAGAATTTTGATACTGCAAGTTTGTATAGTACATCTTCGGGAAGTAGTGGCAAAAACAGTGGAACGAAAGATGGAAAAATGAAGGTAATCGAAAGATGTGTCAGAGATTTTGGTAAAGATGAAAGTATTAAACCAAGAGTCAATCAACCATTGCCTAGACCAATTTTTGCTTGTTCTGTACCTGAAAAGACTACTGTTTCAACAATGGCGGTACAGATTGTTAAAACAATGGGTGCTTGTGTTTCAAAGTCAGTCACAAGTGCTATAAAATGCTCAAGACCACAATTTCCAAACCTAGTCTCAGGGACAAAGATAAAAATGATTGATAAAAACACACTGTCAAATATCACTTTTCCTTCAAGGATTGTGAAAGTTGTGAAAGCTTTACCTACAGTAGGAAAGCCAGCAACAGTTACTCCTAGTGACATCAAGAAGTTAAGCAATCCTGTAAATACTAGCATAGAAGAAGCAGGTCTTAAAAAAGATTCATCATTGCAGAAAGAGAAAACCAAAATGTTAAATGAAAAGAAATTGAAAGGGGCAAATGAAGCAAGCATTGTTGTTCATAATGAAAATGAAGAGAGCATTGGTGTTCATAATGATGAAAAGCCTGATGAGGAAGATTTTGAACCGTCTGAAGAAAACTTAACAAACAAGGCAAAGGCATTAAGGGCATTACATAGAAAAAACAAACCTTTCAAATGGGAAAATACACCAAGCCCACCTAAAGCATTAAGATCTAAAACAAAGTGCAGTGAAAATAAAGCTGTTTGTAAAACAGTTGGTGAAAGAAGTGAACATGCAAATAAACCAGAAACAAGAAGGGCAAAGGAAAGGCTGATTAAGTCTACCCCAACAAAGTCAGTTTCTCTTAAGAATTTTAGAGACAATAAAAAGAAAATAAGTAATGAATCTTCTCAGAAAACAGATAAACAGGAGAAAATATCTGATAAAAAGTCTGCTGTTACAAAAGGAAGAAAAACAAGACAGAAGGGTATAGACAACACTGAAAATGATAATATGAATTCCAGACGGACAAGATCCAGAAGTGGTTCAAAAGATAAATTAAAAGTTGGTAAACAAAAACAGGAAACGGCTGTTAAGAATAAAAAAACGAACAATAATAAACATAGGAATACAGATGGTACAAGTAATGAAGATAATTTGAAAATTCAGAGTAGGAGCCGAGCTTCTATGAAAGTTAGGCATAGTTCTAATGACAATGATAAAGATAAAGCCAAAGATCAGTCCAGTGTAACTGCTGTAGCAGATACAAGAGAGAGTAAAGATAATAGAACTAGAAAGCGCAAATCTGAAACTGAAAAAGTTCAGAAAGATGAACCTGTTTCAAATGATGGACAGGGTCAAAACGATGTTGAAGAGCCTGTAATGAAAGTGTGCAAATTAGACGGAACTGCAAATAGTCCTGAAAAGATGGAAGACTCAAAATGTGGCCATAAGTTGACAATTCCTGGATGTGATCATTGTAAAGAGAAACAACCAGGTTGCCAAAAATTTGGAATGGATATGGTTCGTCCTGCAGTGAGACAAATAATTCACGGAGGAAAAGTGTTTGAAATTCAGAGAGGAAGTGTTACAGAAACTGATCTTCAGACTTTCAAAGAGGAACCAGCTGGCTTTAATGAATCGCCATACGAGGATCAAGCAATGAAAAGATCAAGACGTATTGAAAGACGGAAAAGAGCTCACTCACCAGAGGACTTGAATATGAAAGTGCAACAAGGTTCTGTAGGACTTCAGGATATAAATAAATATATAAGCCAGACTTTGAGAGATATAAAGAAGCAACGCGATGGTTATTCTAACACAAAATGGACTGTCAAACAAAAAAGAGCCAACAAAAATGGTTTACCGTATTCTTTTAAGAAGGCAAATTCCAAACCGTGATCTGTGATTAAAGAAATGTGCAACTGTCCCAGTATGTGTCTTTTGTTGATGTCTCTGGAGATTTGTTTTAATATGATTGTAGTTTTCTACCATCAAAGTAAAATTGAGACATTCATGTTTTAAACCATTGGAAGGAAAATTTACTTTCTTAGTAATTGTTTACAATGTATTATTCCTACTACTGTAGTAATTCTGAGACATTTATGTTGTAAACAATTAGAAGGAAAATTTACTTTTTCTTAACGACAGCAAATTGTGTTGTTTAATATCATGTCTATTTTGCATGTATTTGTTCCGTAAATATATGTTGGTTCAGTTTTAATATTATATTAAGAATGGAAGACATGTGTTAAATTTTTAAGGCTTTTAAAGAATTTCATCGTCAATAGGTTTTGTACCAACTAACTGTCAAATTACTGATTTGTCTTTAATAAATGGAAAAAATTAGCATTAAAAGATATGTTTTCATTGGCCGGGAACATTTTCTTTTTCATATCTAAGATTAGGATGTTGGTTATAAAAGTAATATAATTATAGAGATCAGACAGAATTTTCTTTTTCTTGAAGATTTATGCACTGTATTGTTAAAAACTGTAATTTTTTCTAGCCTGTTGATTATTAGATTAATGCAAATTTCAAAGACAGCACAATGTTCAAGGAAAAAAACTCAATTTTATATGTGTATGATATACCAATGTAAGATTTTCTAGGGGGAGGGTGTTTATGAAAAATATATTGTGAGTGAAGGTTGTATATATACAAATGAATATCTTAAATTTCTTTTTTCGAATTTTGAAATGGAGGTCTTTTAGGTTGTATAAAATTTGTATAGCTCTTTTAAATGTAAACCTCATTATAGAGATAGCCTTAAGGAAAAGGTTTGATCTTCTTTTTGAAGACAATAGATATATAGAGGATATTTGTTTAGTTCAGTGTAAGATCAGAATATCTTTCACCAAGCGAGCATCAAAGGTATATTTCATGAGTGGTGCAGCCACAAGTGAAACATGAACTTTTGGTGTTCATGAGGTGAAATATATTTTTATCTTACACTGAACTAAACAAATTTTCTTTTTATTATGTGCAAAGAAAGGTTTAAAAAGAAATTTTGACCTAATACTAAATGAAAAGCGCTCCAAATAATAATACAGTGTGACGTCATTTACGACGTCACATCATTAAGTTGGTTTCCAGCACTATGCACGCTGGTATTTCACTGAAGCAACCTAACAGACTTAAATTCAAAACTGTGAAAAATATCAAATTGATACTTTCACAGTTTCAAACGGTGAAAATTCAGTTTTATATTTCACGGATATATTTTTTTTAAACCACCGAAAAGTATGTAATAAGTTAAAATACTGAATGAGCACGGGTATCCTTCAACAGTGTTAACCATGATATTTTAAGTATAAAATAATGTGTCTCAAGTTCGCAACAATTTAATATAAACATGTGTTTTTCAAACAAGATAAGTTTTGATTGCTGTTACAAGTACATGTGTAGTCTGGATAGCCTAACATTTTGTCCAGTGTGACCTGGATCGATGGCATAAGTTGTTCATTTTCAGATTTTTTGACATTAAAACTCCTTAAAGAAACAATTTACAGTTCTGAATTCAAAGCAGGGCAATTAGATCTAATACATAGGAGGATTATTTAAAGAATCTCTGGTACTTTATAGACTGTTTGAGAGTTCCCCTGAAATGGTATTTTTGCGATAAACTCAGAAAGCAAAAAAAAAAGCATTGAAATTGGTCGAATAATTCCTTTTTAATCTTTTAGATACATGATTCTATCTTGGGATGTAAATTTCTTGAAGCTAGAATGCAAATAATGTACGTTTGTATCTGGTTATAACATGTGTAATGTATATGCGAGCCATATTTGCTTTTATGTAGCGTCCCCTTCTTTGCTTATGTACGTTGTGTTTTTTTTTCTTTTTACTGTGTATATAACTGTATAAATTGTTTCTGTTAATACTGTATATAGGAAATGTGAATAGTTGTAAAATATGTACATAATGTTCTTAAGAACCAAATTTCATGTTTTATTCATAAATAAACATAATTTGATGCAATAACTGTCTCTTTTTCTTTAATTATAAATTGCTTGTTTGCAAAAATGTTATGGTTTGCTCATGTGCACATTATTTGTGCTGCATCATTTGTTGTAATGCTAACAATGTGTTTGGCCAAGTCAATGAGTCTACATAGATGACATGCATCCAATTGTGCCAGATAAGAGTGTCTATTTGCATCTCCTTTGATACATTTAACCACATGTGTGGATGAGATAAGAAAGTAACAACTTGTGTTGAATATAAATACCAATAACATTTTTGGTGTTCAAAAACAATTAAGATTAATTTCAGAAGCATTGGTTGCTTACTTCCATTTATTATCTAAGGCATCCTTCAAATAATTTATACTCCGCCAAAAAAAACCCCACTATATAGTTTTATCATTTTAATGGAGAGTGGATAGAGATAAATAATAAGGAATTATTGGATAGTACAGTATAATGTTTGCATAACCCAAGCAAGGATCTTGATCATTTTCAGGCATTAAAGTATTCAAGTATGAATTGCAGTGTTAATGCACAGGTATTATGATATTGTTGCAAGTTTTACCTGAGGAAACTATTATTTAAAGTGAATTTGAATGATATGATGTCAAATTGTAATATGCATTTTTATATGCCCGAAAGAATTTCGGGAATATTATTTTATACCCCCTGGCGTCTGTCTGTCCGTCCGTTAGCAATTTGGTTTCCGGAGCATAACGGAAGTTCCATTTGGCCCACAATATTCAAACTTCATAGGATGATTGTCCATATTGGATAGAAGACCCCTATTGATTTTGAGGTCAAAGGTCAAGGTCACTATTACCTTAAAACTAAAAACAGTTTCCAAAGCATAACTTAAGTTCCATTTGGCCAACAATATTCAATTGTCAATATTGGGTAGAAGACCCCTATTGATTTTGGGGTTACAAGGTCAAAAGTAAAGGTCACTATTACCTTTTAACTGAAAACAGTTTCCAAAGCATAACTTAAGTTCCATTTGGCCCACAATATTCAAATTTCATAGGATGGTTGTCCATATTGGGTAGAAGACCCCCTATTGATTTTGGGGTCACAAGGTCAAAGTCACTATTCCCTTAAAACTGAAAGCAGTTTCCAGAACATAAATTAAGTTCCATTTGTCCCACAATATTCAAACTTAATAGGATGATTGTCCATATTGGGTAGAAGACCCCTATTGATTTTGGGGTCACAAGGCCAAAGGTCAAGGTCACTATAACCTTAAAACTGAAAACAGTTTCCGCTCAATAACTAAAGTATTAATCATCCTACAGCTGTAAAATTTTATAGGATGAACAGCCATGTCCAATATTTCCATCCGTCGAAGCATTTTTACTTACAAGATAACAACTTGATGGTGGTGCTTTAGAAACAGCAACTGTATATATATGAAGGTTCTTCAGCTATAAAGGAGGATTGCATTTTGAAGGAGGTAATACTTTATTTAATTTTCCCATGTCTTACAAATGCTTCATCCTTACTAAAAAAAACAAAAAAACAACACTTTCAGGCATATAATGCTCCACCTAGCAGTGCTCTTGTCTGTTTTGATATACCATTGGTATTGGACTAAATGCTCCTAAGTTTAAATTCACATACTGAATTAAAATGACAAATATAGTGCCCGGTTTCTTTTTAGCAAAGATTATAAATATTTGTACTGAGGTTCATAGTATCATATAATTATTAAAATGCTTTTACATCTTGGAATGCATTTTTTGAAAACATCAAATTGCCAGAAAAATGAATGTGTATATTGGTGGTTTCGGCCTCCATGGTCAATTATTTAGGACACCATCTTTGAACCACTTCACCCTTACTGTAGTAGGTCTGAATCCTAGACAGAACTTGTGATTTTTTCATTTGAGTAAGCTTCCATCTAGATTACAGATGTTTGATGGTTCTTGTCAGGTTTTCCTCCACCAATAAAACTGGAAAGTTGGGTGTCAGTGTAGCTTTAAACCTAACCAATAAAATAGATCTAGGGTTCTACCAAGGGTACCATTATCAAGGCAAGGCAACTATTATTGTGTGCAGTATGTTTCATTTATTGAAGTGGAATTAATCAAGATTTTTATGGTTCGCAAAAGAATAACATAGTTGCTGCATTGTCCATCCTTCCATCAAAAGAATAAACTTTGCTAGTGAAAGAATCACTATATTAAGTTTTTGAATTATCTCCCTTTAGAATTCTTATTAATTTTATCTCTACAACAAAAATATTGAAAGAATTTGAATTAAACAGTGATCAAGGTGGCAGAAATTAGTCCAGCTACTTTGTCTGTTTTAATTATCTCCCTTTATAATAATGCTTGTTGCACATAAGCTCAACAACAGCCAATCCCATTTGTATTAAGTATGACCATACCTTGGGTGGTCTTCTTAGAATGGGTGTTGTTATGGGTGCTAATAGAATCTTTCTCTTTTGCTCTTACAGCCTTCATTTATCGACCGAGGTCTTTAGTATTTAACAGGCTTCTTCCTTGTATTTTTGGTGGTTCCCTTTTTTTGGGATGAATAAGGGCACACACAGGTCAGTCAAGGTCATCAATTTGCCATTATTAGAAGGCTTATGCGCATTGACAAAGGAGCATCCACTGCTTTTCAATTTAATATTTTCATTACAATGACATTGACCACAAAAAAGGAACCACATTTGCTGCAAGTCCTACTTAGCCAAATTGTGATGAAAACTTAAAGGCCATATTGAACCACTGCGATTACCAGTGCCAGGGTTATGCAAGATGTCATGGCTGCGGAACTATGCAAAGCATCAGTGTTGAGAAGCAGAAATGTTAACTACTAGGCTTCCTCTATTTACTTCTGTTTTGTTTTCGTAATTTCATGAAAGCTTCAAATGGAGACTGAAGTTTCTCTCAGACATGAAACTTATGAACATATATCATTATATATTAATATCAACAAGTAATAACTCAACCAGAAACTTACTTAGCTGTTTTTTATTTGCTACCACTGTTAATACACACATCTTTATTACAAAATATCAAGCAATCCAGTTCAAAGAAAAACATAACATGAAAATATTTAAGTACTTATGCAATATTTGCTTAATTTTCTCTAAATTTTCCAACAAAAATAATGCATTTAGTCCTCGCACACTATAAAATAGGCGTATCTTTTAAAATTTCACATTAATTCATGCAAGTGTTTAGTGTTACCAAATAAGGATTTAATCCTTAATTATCATTATATCAGCAGTAAAACAAAATTTACAACATACATACATGTACATCAACAGTGGTACATTCTGCACAATATTTGGCTTATAAAATTGAAATATTCTATGTACCTAGAATGGATAAGAAATGCAACATTCATTTAAGTTTACCTTACAAAACTTCTTTTTATTTAAAGAGACATGAAAAACAAAGAACATGGAATATAAATAATTACCTAAAAAGCCAAAAACTTTGGTTCCTTCTTGTACAAATATTCCCTAACCTAAGCAGTGCACTGGCGATGCAAAGTAAAATTAAATGTTACAGCAACATCACAAAAGTCTGTCTTTTAATGACTAGGTAATCTATACCTTAACACTAGGTTTTTTACTTTAATCAATGTTTCTTAGAATTTACCACATGTCAGCGTTTTTACATAACCATACATGGAATAGTAACTCAAAGAAACTCTGTGCTTTCCATTTGAAAGTTCTACTTAACAGGGGTGGCAAAATCTATTGTCCATATTGCCAAGGTGTACAGACAAGTGGAAATTTTCAATAATTTACTTTATAAATATCATATGGACAAGAAATGCTTCAGATAAAAACAAACAAGAAATCCAAAATCAAATTTTGCCAGCCCTGCTTAAATAAGGGAAATACAAAGCACAAATAACAATTTTTTTCAAGTTATACTACACTGTACGAAACAAATAAAACAATGAATGTTGCATTTCAATTCCATTATTGTAAACTAGATGAAAGTTCATCCATTTTCTTATACAGTTCGCCACGCTTTTCTGTTATAGACTTTTCATTGTCAAGGTACTGCTGTTTACTGAACTTGTTCGCCACAAGTTTCTCGGCGTATGTGATCTGCAGACTGATTTGCTCTTTGTACTGATGGTCCAATCGGTTCAATTCGGCAACCTGTAACAGTGGGACAATTCTACATTAACTTTTGGGTTAATCACTTACTTTTTATCACAGATTTAAGTAAATTTAACTTTTACTACACATAACCCACAATCCTGAAGATATGTGGATCACTGTAACTTAACTCTCAGCCCTCTGGTTGCCATAGAATATACACATGACCAGTGCAAACTAAGATCAGCCAGCACATCTCTGCCATTTGAGCAGGGTCTGTACTAGTTTGCAATTAAGTCAGTACTTTTTTTTAAAAGTTTTTATCATACTTGTAATTTAGGCAATTTCGTGTAGTTTCCTTGTTTAATTATCCAAAATAAGTAAAGGATATGAAAACAGTACAATATAACTTTGAAATCAAATTATCATTACAAAAGTATTTTAAATCTTTCAAACCTTTTCACCAAGATCCGAGCCCTCAGATTTCAGTTGACCTTGCAGGTTCTGTATTTGACTAGTTAGTTGCTTATAATCGCCATCTATTTTCTTCCGCTGAGACATGAAGTTACTATGGTCCTTCCCAGCCTTGAACTTGTCAATTGCATCATCATAGCTCTGATAGAGGGCGCTACGCTTGTCCTGGGCACTCTGCACTTCCTCGACTAGACTAGCAACACGCATTTTACTTTCCTTAGCCTCGTCCTGGAAAACAAATGTCAAAACTTTTGTCTTTACATTGTAACAACCTCGATTTCTACAAATAATTATTATTACACAGGTCACTTCACAAATGTCTTTCCTAATCATTTCAGAAATTTAATCCTAAGCTGTTTAAAAATTGTTAGCTAAAATAACACAATCACTATAAAAACCTATGTTTTCTCTTTGCCTTTTCAAATTTTCTCATGGTAACAGAAAACAGTAGTATAGAAGTGACTCACTGCAAGATTCCAAGTCTTTTCTTAGTCACTGTAATATGTTAATATCTATACATAAATATATACCTTGGTGATAGAGAAGTCCATTCTGACATAAATAATAACAAGACAAAACAGGAGATAGAATGCACCAACAACCAACAATGGCTCCTGTAGCAAACGTAATTTCTGGAAGTTGTAGTGAAGCTGGAAAAAAAACAAACAATTGAAGTTGTATTATATATAAATGTTTATAAATTCTGAAACAAACTTGAAATGCTTTTTCTTCCTTATAAAGCACAGAATTTGATGTTCTTTTTGGATCTTTTTTTTAAACTATTGTTTCTAACCATCAAATGCTACATTTGATATGCAATACAGAATGTAAAGTGTGAAAATAAGACAAAATTTGATATTGATACTTATATGCCCAACACAATGGACCATAAAATATCTCTTACAATAATTTAATTTCACAATTTGTTACCAAAATCAGATCTTTATGACAAGATTGATAGGTCAAAATATCAGGCATTTAATTAATTTCAAAGCAATTTGCTTGCATTTAAACTTTTATTTTGCTATCAAAGCAAAAGACATATGTCCAGTTTTAACACACAAATATTTTGTTTCATACCTCAAAGTCCTGGATATGTTCTTCGACTAGGTTGTTTTTGTAGGCAACAATGACTGGCCGACCAACAGTATCCAGGTAAGTATAGTGCAAACCATTATCTCCCTTCTGTACACTAAAAGGCGTCTTCAACTCAGTCTTTCTGTATTAACAAACATCATAATGTTACTTAAAAGAGTAGCAATTCATTACAGAAGATTTTTACCTAGCTAATTGTACAATCTAAACCAACCGTTCTTGCAAAATTACTTTCAATAGCCTTATTTTTTGCTAGAGACATTTCATGGTGTACTTAAATTGTAATTTTAGCCTTTGCGATGTTCTCCGTCAGCCAAGGCCAGAGAAATGCTGGCTACTGAAAAATTATTGCCTATTACTTTGCCAATGTATGATAAAGCAAACCAGATATTTCTACCTATTTTCAACAGGTGTAAATTCCTACTTTCATTCACATGGAAATTTACTGACAATATCAAGCTGTAACATAAAAGTTTTACAACCAATGCATGTATGTAAAAAGTAGAATAGTTATTTGAGTATTTTCATTTCATAGCATACTAATTTTTAGTAGCTTGCTGACAGGGTGTTGGTTCTCCCCAGGTGAATGTATATCAGGGTTTTCATTTTATCTGAGGCAACTGATGTGCCAATGAAAACAACCAATTTGGCCAAGGGGAATATTTAGATCTACTTGCTGCAAATACAAAAGATTTTAACAGAATTTCAACCGATGATATGGATTGTCCATCTGTTAACAATTAAAACCCTGTATATGCCTGGAATTGTGAAAGGGACATTATAATTTGTCACCTTAGTGCAATAACTTGTTAAGTGCTATTTAATTTAGAAGGACTTATTCCATTATTGCACTAAGGCAACAATATGGGGTCTTCCTTTACCAATCAAGTTTGTTACTTTCAACTTAGTGAAAAAGAGGATAAAAAGTTTCACTTACGAGGCTCCTTCAGGCAAGATAATTTTGAATGTGATCTGGTCAATAACAACATCATCATAGATGTGATCCACAAATCTCATCTTTAATGCATAGTTGTCACCTGTAATTCAAATAATATACTGATATTGTAAACACATCAAATATACCACATTTAGAGCAAGAACTATAAAAGCTTAATAATCAAAATTTATTAAAACTTTGATAAAAATGTTAAACTCAATAAAATGCGCAAAGATAACTGATAATGCCATTTCTTGAAAACCGAACCAACTATAACATGTTTAATTTGTATGCTTCTTTAGGTAAATTTTGACAATGTTCAAACAAGACAAGATTTTTTTTTAGTAAAGAGTAAAGAACCTCCCATTTCATAAAAATAATTGACATTATATTCGACAATAACATTTCTTACCACTGTTGAAAAGATACTGGTAGCTTGGAACATTGTATCCAATAGTGTATTTGGTCTTCCAACCACCAAAGAGTGGGAATCTTGGACGAAGCTCAACCTCGACCATATCTTCCATTTCTCTCATAGCACTTGTGGAAATGTTTCCTATCTCGTCACGGTAATAAACATCTCTGGCTGCAGCTGGCAAGATTGTCTAAATAAACAAACAAAATACATTCACACAATTACACTATAAACTTTCAAAATGTTATTTTAGAAATTTCAAGAAGTCAAAATTACTCTACTTTGTACACACACACACAGAATAACATTAGACGTCATATTTAAAACACCAGCTAAAATTTCTTAGATCAATATAACTTGAACCTCATAATTATATGATTTAATAATTGACCCCCCACCCTGCACCCCAAAAACATAATAACCTTCTAAAACACTCATTTCTAAATGTTGTATAACTTAATTGATTACACTTACTTATTTAATTATTTAAATGGAAAAACATCTGTTTAATAAATTACTTTCACAATGATATAAATTGCTAGTAAAACTACTACCCCCAAACCCTTCATTGGTCATACTCTGATCAACGATATGAATCCCGGATATTTTTTTAATTTACCTTGAATGATTTTACTGATGCTCCCTCAGCCTGTCTCTGGTAGTCATATCTAGAGAATGGACCTTTCAATTCTGCCCCGGAGTGTCTGATCTCAATGTGTTCCTCCACAGCAATGTTACCCCAGTGTGATACCTCAATGACACGTTCCATACTGGTGATGGTCAGGAATGGTGTGTTGTTTTCAGAATGCACTCTCAATTCAGCCTGTAACATTACAAATGGTACTCAACATAAATGACTTTGACATTGACATGTAAAGTAAGAGCAACTAAGCTTCATCCCTTCGAACAGCAATTTTTTTCTTCTTTTGAACAACTTAAGTAGTACTTAACGCACACAATTAACATAGCAACATTTAAATATATCTACATTCAAAATTTAGCATTAGTATGTACCTCAGAAAATGCTTCTTTGTTTTCATATGGTCCGTAAGTGATGGTACTTTCACTCTGAGAAACTGGTTTTGTTTTGGTGTATGATTCAATAGTACTTGAGGCTGTTGTCACAGTTGTTGTTTGGGTTTTGACTTTGTAAGGCAAGAAAACATACAAATTCCCAGTGAACACCACATACTGTTTCTCGGCCTGTGTCACCTGACGTGGGAATGGGGTCAGTGCATGGGCGTAAACAGAATTCACGTTGAGTGTAATGGACTTTCCAGTTTCCAAAGCTTTTGGGAAGTTGACTCTCCAAAATTGTTTGTCACTGTAATGATAAAAACGGTTTTAAATACATTACATCAAACACAACCAAATAAAATTTTTTTGACAAACTTTACATGTGACATTCTGTTTCAATAATACCCTTTTATATTATGAACATCCCAGTTAATAACAGAGAGATACAAAAGTGCATCAAATTTTTTTACAGAGCTTCAAAATCTACACTCCGCTCTTAAACTAAGTAACAATGTCCTAGACCACTGAGTAAACAATCAATTTCCTGACCCAGTTCATTCGAGGTTGTTAAGGAGTTGGGTGTGCACTCAACCAAATCATAATTTATGATGCTGTATGAATTTTTTTCCAAATCAGCATCTATGTTGGTAATAAATTAGAAACAATTTTGGTTTTAAATTGGTTTCAACACAAATTCCAAAAGGAAGGCATCACCAGATGTGCCCCCATTTAACAAAAGCAGAAAGGTGCAATGCATCATATATTTCTGCCATGGCTAGGATTTGAAAATATACCAAAGAAGTAACAACACTCTTTACAACTTGGCCAAGAATTGACATTTGATGCAATTATCAGAGGTTGTACTTAAATTATGATTCTATGAAGATGGGTGAGCACTCAACCATTACAAAAATACTCAATAAGAAAAACATAGATAATCTAACAATTTTAAAACTGATTTTGTACTATGTCACAGCAACAAGCCAACAACACAATAAAAAGCTTGTCCAAGTCTATGCCCATGTTCTAGAATACCTATCTTGAGATGTCAGAGCTGAAACTTTACCTTTGGCCAGATACTGTGGTTTGTGCAACTGTAAGGGGAGTTGGCTTCTCATCTCCATCACCTTTAATCTACAAAACAAATGCAGTTTTTAGTAAGACTGCAGTTTTTAATTTATACAATCATTTCATTTCCTGCATGCACTAATTATAATTGTCAGCAGTGAAACATTTTAGCTCTAATATAAAGAATTAGGGTTTTAAAAATTGTACAGAAATGGTCAACACCCACTGATTTTACTGCTCACGGTTTTCTGCTGGCATCACTTTCGAGGAGCTGTCAAGGTCCCCACATGTATTTTGACATATGATCTAACGGATGAAATAATGGATGAACAAAGTCAAAGACAAAGGTGAATGCATCCTCAGTTCCTTGTAAGATAAACAATAATTAACTTGATTGTCTCCATTACTTACTGATGCTCCAAAGTATGACAGGTAGTTCTTGAGAGAATTGTCAACTGGCACTAAAAAGTACCCTGTGGACGACTTTCCTCCGTTTTCAATGGTAACAGTTGTGACAATCTTGACAAGATGGGTTGCAGTATCAATTTTTCTGTCTGCTTCGGATACAGTCAAATCATTGTTAATAGCATCTTGCCTCGCAATTGCACTATTGCAAACAACTGACAAAGCAATGAAAATAAATACAAAGCGTTTTATTTTCATCATATTTACGTGTCTGATGAGGATTCACACGGATAATTCAACAAACTTTTAATAATGTAGCCGGTATCTCCCGGAAGTTGTTGTCAAATCCGGAAATTATGTGTCATGTAAAGATAGTATAATAAATTCGTATAAATATAACTATTGGTAAAAATAAATGAATAATCATTATGTGGTTTAAAAAAAGAAATTAATAATGTCACCTAAAAGATCTATTACAGTATCAAAGGAAAGAAAATTAAAATTGAAAAATTCGAAACAAATATGTAAACATTTCCCGCGTAATTATCTGTCAAAGATGGCGGGAGTCACGTTGCCGGGACATAACCAGACATTGAAAGAAGCTTTAATTGAAAGCCTTACAGCCATTCTTTCCCCTGACCACAAAACTAGAATCAATGGTGAAGAACAAGTGAAAGCGTTAGAAGTTACCGAAGGTAACTGTTGACATAGTGACAGAATTTTATAAAGATAACCTCGAGAGTTACCCCACCCATTATCTAATAATAAGCAGGTGTTTGAAAGACAAGACCTATACAAACACACCGTTTCTAAATTAATAAGCATGTATGTATGTTAAGGGTGTGGATTTTTCCCACTTGCCCGTGGAGAAACTTAACATTTATAACAGTGTCACGAAAATCTTTGGCATTTTTTTTTGTACAGTAAAATGATCAAAAACATGTTTCCAGTATCCTGAAATATTCGGTTCTCGATAATGTAACAATAAAATGCAAAAACAACAAATGGAAAAAAGACTCACCTTTATTCTAAATACATCATTGAATACATAAATATATTCTCTTTAAGTTTTTTAATTGTTAACAATCAATGAAATAACGAATAAAAAATATTTTCAAAAAATATAACAACTGTCAAAAAAGGATTTCCAAAATGGCGTCTTGAATTCTCGATAACTCGAGATAAATCTCAAAACGAGGCTGTATTAAGTATGGTGGCCCAGTGTTGACATGCTATAAACAACAGTTGCAGTAGAACACTGTATTCTTTCTCACAACACGGACTGGAGAGCAGTATTTAAGGTGAACCCAATGGGAACAAGTAGCATTATCACACTGTGCCCAGTGGGTGAATTCTATTGCACCATGGGAATGCTTGTCTACATAATATTGATGACATTGGCAACACTTATCTTCATCAGGTATTTCTGATTCATTTTCACTATCAGAGAGGTCTGATTTTTCAGAAAGTTCAATGTTTTGTTTGGATGGACCTGGCTTTTGTTTATCATTTATTTGAAGATTGAAGCTGGTGGCTGAATTCTTTTTGTTCTTAGGAGTTTTAGTTTTTTTCTTTTTAGGATCATTTGTACTAATTTTACTGTTACTTTCATCAATGTATTTTTTCATTTTTTCTACAGTTTCACCTTCCAATGCTTTTCCACCAACAATACTATTAATGCTTTTACGTTTTTTCTTCATGATTTTTATATGTACATCACCACCTTTCTTATCAAAAAAGTTATTTTCTGCTGTTTCAGATTTTTTGTGATCTCCTGATGCTGTCACTTCATCATCAACTATGTAAAGTTCAGATGGTTTGATTTTACTTTTTAAAAGTTCAACCATAGAGGACGAGTTCTTGAATGGATAAATGCCTGCCTTATTGAAAGAAGCTTGTAAATTTAAAGGACTTAGAGCAAATGAGTACGCCTTGCAAGCAAGTGAGCAGACATCATAACGAGTGACAACTCTGTGATGTGTTCTAGCAAATTTAGAACTTTCTTGAGCATATTTCAGTTGCAGGGGACCAAAACATCCAATGTCCATAGGCTGGAGGATATGAGAGGTGTGTGGTGGCAAGACAAACAGAACAATATTTTGCTGTTTAGCCCATTCAACAAGATCTACTGATATGTGACTACGATGACCATCATACAGTATAAGAATTGTGTCATCTGATCTTCCCTGGCAAAACTTCATAAAATGATTTTGCAAATAATCTTTAAAAACAACACTATTTGACCAACCACTTGGTGTCATGATACCATCAGCACCTGGACTTTTTCCTTCCAAGAGACCATCTAACATTCGGACACCAGGGAAAACAAAATATGGAGGGATTTGCATTCCAGCTGCATTGCCAGCCCCTATTATAGTGACAGTTTTACCACGCTCAGACATGATAACTTGTGCCTTACAATCTTTTCCACTAACAACACTAGGGGGTTTATATTCAGTATTTATTCCCTTTTCATCAATGTTATAGATAAGGTGCGGTTTGTCAAATAAATCATATTTACGTAAAATTCTTTCAAGTTCATTAAAGTATTTAGTGACAGATTCTTCACTGGCACATTTAGCACGTTGTTCAGACAGACTTGAAGGACGGACAACATTAAGTTCTGGCCACCTTTTTATGAAGTTATAAAACCAATTAAGAGTGAATGGCTGATCATCTTTCCTCTTGCCTAAAGAAACAGCATAATCAGAGGCTAAATTGACTACTTCAGCCCTCGTGTAACCATATCCAACAGAAGCAAGATCTTTTAAGTGTTCACACAATTTAGCTTCTTCATCTAAAGAAAGCACAGGGCAGGGTCCTGATTTGACACAATCAATTGATATTCTATTATCAACCCGGTCTCTCAAAGTAGTAAGAGGAACTCCATTTAGCTTTGCAGCTCTATATACTGGAATTCCTTCATCTTTCACCATTTTATAAGATGATGTCATAGCAGTTGGTGACCATAGCCGTAGTCTTGACCTATCTGCAGGTTGAGTAAGCTGAAATGAACCAGAATAAACACTCTTTTAATGCATATTTTGGCTTATTTTGAATACCACATATATTAAACATGAATAAATAACAAAAATGTGTTCATTTCCTTTATTAGATTACATCAACTTAGATTCAATACAGATTATGTCCAGTCTGTATTTAACTATTGCAATTAATAAGATCTATGGCCCTGATTTGCTTCCGTATTTTATTTTTTTGACAGGTGCTAGTGACGTATCACTTGGTCTATTTTTAGAACTAATGTTGATTTGCTTGCGTCATCCATCGGCTGCTGTCAGAGGCTTGCAGATAAATTAAAATGGAGGATTGTATAAAACAGAAAAAAAGCATTAGTGAAAACTGTATAAAATTGATGATTTGTAAATAAAAGAGTAAGTTTACCTTTATCCTGAACATTTTTACCGTGAAAACAGTTTTTATTGAAGCAGCTGAATACACAGTGTTGACTTGGAGGTTTCCTTGTCAAATGACGTCAAACTCGTGAAAAAAAACACGCGATTATTTATTCTATCGGGAATTCCATTATATCGAGAACTGAATATCTGAGGATACCGTAAGACGTTGTAGATAATAAATAGACTTATAGATAATGTGTTCTTAATATGAAAAAGGCAAAGCCTCAAAGCGAGCTCGATGTACTTTTTGCGTGAAATAGTATGAAATAATCGCTCATTTTTATTCAAATGCAGTAACGAGTGCGTGTGACGTCACACGTACTGGTTAAATATGGCTCCGCCCCTGTCGTGAAATAAATAACGAGTTTTTAAAACGTTGATAAAACTTTGTTTTATTTTATTTCACTCTATAATTTTTCAAGCGAAATAAAGATTATTTAAAGTGAAATAACTGTAAAACTTAAAACGTTTGCGACATTAAAGTAGCGTACTTGATTTGTTTGTTTTGCACGTGCTGTTTGGCTCTACATTGTGACGTCACGTAAACAATACTTTAAACGTCTGTACAGCGTTAACGACTGAATAAAAGATATTGGTGTTCGGATTCATTTTCTTAGTTCGACCATTTTCTTTCATTCTAGATAGTTTTCACAACAAAATTTGACAAAAAATTGTTTTTATTTATCAGATTTCAAACAAAATGGCGCCTTGGATTTTCATTTTTTATACACAGCTTCCGTTGTTCTGGTTCCCTGTCCAATTATGGTTCCCATAGACGTGCGCGGGTGACAAGTCTACACATCCGTTTTCAGTCAGAATTCCTCAGTTTTTATCGTTATCTTTAAATTCGAAAGGTTGCGATGTGTCCAATTCGGTACTTTGGACGAAAGTTTTCAAAACCATCACTTAGCAGGTACTCGCGTTACCGTAAAGCTCGCTTTGCGAGCAGGCCCTTCGGGCCAGCTCGTCGAGCTCACTATTAAAAGTACATTTACTGTCTGTTAAAAGTTCCTAAATTTATGCTGACATTTTAAAACAGACATCTATGTTATTAATTGACTGAAATATCTAACATAAACAGGTCTAGGATTTCATCATAATTACGGACAGTCTGTAAATTTTTGGACAATCCATAATTTTACAGATTTTCTTATCTGTAAATTTACAGACATTAAGTAAGAAAATAGTAGAAGTTGCATTGAAATTTAAAACCGCCGGTTAAAATGAATAAGGTTAGGTATTATATGATTAAATGTAACAGTTTGCTAAGATTCAGAACAGTTTGATGACTTTCAATTTTCACTTTTAACAAAAATTTCAAAATCATCATACAAAGATGAAACCAACCCCATTACCTTTGTAAATATAAACAATCAATAAAACAACTTGTCTTTAGCTGCGGATTTTATTGTAAAACTAAAAACAGCAAATTTCACATTGAATATCTGTAAATTTATGGATTGAAAAATCTTTAAATTTCTAGACTGTCTATAAATTTACGGACAGTCCATAAATATCATGAAATCCTAGACCTGATAAAGATGGTTAATGCTCGGCGGCACGAAATACCCAAATATACCCAAATATTGCCCAAATATACCCAAATATAGCAGTATTTATTTTTGTTTGTATAAAATATAGATAATAATGAGAAATAAATCAATATTTATAAAATAATATGAATTAGCCTGCTATAACTTTCATTCATTCCGTTGAAATGGGCAGTTAAGATGTTGTAAGAAAATAAAATTGTGACATTTGCTTATCTACAATATAGGTTCTTTATGAATGTACTTGCAATTTAAATTCAAGATATATTTGTTGTCTACACTTACATTTTTAAGGTGTAAATTTGTTGAAATTTCATATCATACAGAAGAAGAATGTCCATGTTATTAAAAAATAGCTTTAATAGAGTACATATACTGTATTTTGGTTCAAAACACAA